CATAGTAACATCGTCGTCGCTCATTATGTCGTACCTTGCTAACCGAGGTGTTTTTTAACGCTGGAATGTGAGTAAGCCAACTGAGAGGACGTTCAATTGAATGTATAGGAGAGAGTGGCCACGGCGGACTAGTTCCGATAGAAATTGTTGTAAGCCTCTTATTAGAGCGTGTGTTTGTGTTTTGAAAAACAATGGTCTGAGATATATTATAATACATACAAGATAAAATATAGAAATACATGCAAAACAACTGCACGAACCTTTCCAATGTATCCCAGACTTTTTTCCAGCAGCGTTTGTCGTTTAATTGGCGATCGTGTGGGCGGAGCTCGTACAGATATCCGAAGTAGATATTATAATGCGTGTTCATGCATTTATATATATGTATATGTAAATCAGGGAACAAGATCACGACAATGGCGTACCAAGTTTGTGCCTCTATTGTCTTTTTTAAGATGCAAAACAAAACAATAATATTATTTTATATATGGCAGACAGACTTGGGGGGGTTTATTTGTCGGTCTGGCCGTCTATTCCCTCTCTCTGCTGTCTAAATCTTAACACTGAATACGCTTGATAATTATACCTGCAATACTAAATTATTCGTGCGGCAGTAGTACCTGTAGTGAAAATCCATTGTATTTATTACCGTTGCCTACGCCAAGGACAGTACTTCAGACCAACGGCGGCCAACTTCGTGTTGCTTACTGCCGCTGATAACGCGTATCACGCGCACAGCCACTTACAAAGTCTGGTTTTTTTCCATCGAGCACCAATAGGATATACGATTTGTTTAAATCGTGTGCTAGCCATTAAAATTCGTGTTGAACATAAATACCAGTTTCTGGTAAGATACCATTAAAAACCAGGACCAAAAGATGAGTTCATTAAAATATAAAAACGCGACTGTCACTTGACACTGATGGTCATGGATACACACGTTGAAGTCGTCCCTGTAAATAATCCAAGAAAAACATTATATAGGCAGCGAGATCACCACGCGGTGGCATTATAACGTTGTAAACATTCCATCAAAAACTTATTCGAATCCCTATCATTTGTCAGAAAAGAGGACCTATCCAATCAGATTACACATCACAATAATTTATCGTTGAAGCTCTAATGTTATGTGGTTCATATTATAGTATTTGTTGTTCATAACTAGATGTTCACACATCTGAAAAATTAAGGTGAACAGTGTCATGTTACTAGTTTATCATACGGAAACATTTTTCAGGGGCGTTTCAAGACGTTGATCTGCTCACCAACTATACGGAAATCTTACTCGGAATAGTGTAAAACACGTGTCATAAAATATGTATTTAAATATCTGTACTTCTTATTTAATGCCTGTATTGTTTTTTATTGCTATGATGGCCGCCAACCCTTAAAAACGCTCCTCGCTTGTTGTTCGCACGAAACGAATCGACTTTCCGGTAAATTTAATGCTTTTGTCATCTTGTTTTTGACAACAAGAGAAGGTTAATAATAATCCAGATCGTACAGACTACTAATGAGTATACAGTCGCGGCGCTTTCAATACTATTACATTATTATATTATTCCAGTCGTGTACTTTCCATGCTTCATTGCCGCGCGCGTCGGTTGAACCCAAAAAGAAAAAAAAATACCATACTCACGTGTACTTCTCGCTGACTAATTGCAATGCCACGCTCACTTCACTGACGGATTTGGCGATTAACGGCAGTCACGAGAAGCAGACGTACCTACCGCAAAACCGTCGGACGTCGTTCAATTTCCCCGAAGGGAATGACTTAGCACAGTATCAGGGTATGTTTATATCACAGTCCAGTCACTGTAACATTGATTTATTTATGTTGTTTTCTTGTTAATAATTTGCCGGGAGGGCTATACATTAGCAAGAGCCGCTAACCACAACAATGCAGCTACATTTGCCCAAATAGACGGCAAAATCATAATGCACGTTGGTTTTCCGAACGTTTAACTGCTATTAAACATTTATATTTTTTATATTTATATTTTTAAATCGTTTGCCGTCTACGATCGTCTTTCATTGCACGTGTACACGCCCACCCCCGCGTATGCTGTACACGGTTGCCACCCGTCCAGGTTATGTGTCCAAAAGTAGTAATTAGGTGTGTACGCCGCCCGTGAACCGTATAAACTCAGGATTTACCACAAACCCAACGTGTAAATATTCTGACTACCACCGTACTTTACGCAACTCCACCGACAGGCATAAATTATTTTTTAACGGTTTAGGCTCGAATTCCGTACTCGTGTATTCCGCGTGCATTCCTTTCCGACACATTTTATAGAGAAAACGCTTAGAAGTTAAATGTACATTGTGAACTACACGCACGATATGTATGATTCTGATAACCCGACGAGAACACGTTTATTAAATATATTCTACAATAAAAAAGGAGTAATAAATAATAATAGTTCGTTGTGTATAATGTGATGTTTTATACTCCTTCGCTCAAATCCATACAACATTATGGTTCTAAACGACTGACCCTCAAAACTGTCAAATGTAAGCGAGACCACCACGTTACGATTTTACTGCTTATTATTATTTTGAGCTAAGTACTTTTTAAAAAATAAGAACTAAACCGCACCCAATATTAGTGTTTACTATTATTTTTTCAAGTATTATTATGCGTTTACAGTATATTTTAGCGAGTGTTCACAAAAAAGATATTCGCTATTGACATTCTGTCGATCGCTGTGAAAAATGCAGGTGTACTATATTATGTAAACGTCGCATTCCAGTGTATGTTTTATTATACTCTCCACTACACAGTTTTCTTCAGATTTTACATCAATGCAGCGTAACTACACGTTCTACGCTGATCTGAATACGAGTACAATTACCGTTTAAATAATTTTAAATTCAATTTTTAATGATATAAATTTTTTTTCTTCATTAAATATTTGCGATAGTCTAACCATTCGTCAAACCACGAATTTATATTATATTGCTTAATTGATTTTTAGATAACGTTCTTGTTAAGATAAAAAAAATTCTGCTTAATGTATCATTTAATTAAGGTCACACAACGTCCGTACGACATGGCGTTATTGATGCAATATAATACCATGCACAACAGAGATCCTATCAATTTGTTGTACATACATACTGTAGAGATTTAAGCTCACAAAGATTGGTAATTTTTTTTGAATGCTATGCATAGTCTAGACACATTCATTAGAATATTTTTAATGGCCGACAAATTTAAAAAGGACGATCGGATTATTTTCTTTATTGATTTCTTTTGTGCAATATAAGTCTTCCCACATTTACAATAAAATTACCCACGTAATGGAGTTAAATTATCGTTATCAAAATTTGGGTAGTAACTTTTTTTGATAATTAACTATGTCTGAAATTGGAAATTCTCTCAATTTATACTGGAATAGCGAATAAAATAATTTTTATCGCAACCACTTGCATAAAATTGCCAAACGCAATATAATTTATCTCTCGTGTACATGCAAATAAACACCTTGTTATATTGTACTATTAACGACTTTAGAATTATGTTTGAAACATGCACAATAGCAATTTTTTAACGATTAAAGTCTACGACATTTCTTGTAGTTACAGTCCGCGCAAAAATTAAGCATTTAATTTATTTAAACGTATGAGAATTTCGCATAGATAATTGGATAATGATAATAATAGATGATTATATCAAATGTATTGCTTTATGCTACTTATTATATCAGTAGTGTAAATATCGCATCATCCGTCTAAGACGAATTCAAAAATAATTTCTAAACTTGTTAATATATGAAACTCTTTAATTCAATAAAATGATGCTACGTATTATTTTAAGTGCAATGCGAAAAACGCTATATTAAATTATTTTATTATATTGGAAAAATGATGGAGGAGTACACAAGAAAGCAGTTGATTTCAAGGAGATCGAGGTTTTTTTCTCGAGTTTACTTTGGCGCCGTTTTTGCCTGTTCGATGTCACGCAAAACTAACCACATTATGTCGATAACGACCAGCGCCATATTGTCCACTTTGTTTTTTTAGTTGCTATTCGTAGTAAATGATAACGTCAAACGCATTTCGTCAGGTTGAATATTCAACGTAAAAAAAAAACCGAGCAGTAGAACCTTTTGTGACATAAATGGTCTCCAATTTTTTTTTCATTAATTATTTACGCACTAAACATTAGAAATCCGATCGGTGGTTAAATCAACAGTTGACACGTGATCAACGAAATTATAATATATTTGACATTAAAAAATCGTTAATCTTTAGAGACATCGATGGCGCCTTTATTAACGATCTTTGTTTTGATTTGTTCTTAAATTTTTTATTTTCTTCGACACCTCAATGTAATCTTGCTGGAGGTTGTTTGACACCTCGAGCGTATACGATACAATAATAATAATTGGATTCCAGTACACGACCCCCTCTTGTGAGTAATACTTATGTGCCGTCAGCGAGCGATTCGTCATGTCCGAAATTTTAATTATCGCTTTCTGGTAACGACCCTCAGGCGGCGTACCCATCGACAGGAGGATGGAACCCTCATCATTGCATGATAAGAAGTGAGACGGTATCTCATTATACCATACTCAGCGGGTAGTACGGCCCGCAGGATGAAAATGTTAAGAATGTCATAATGTAAAACAACATGAACTGTATTTATATAATTGTGAGAATGTTTGTGATTAAAATAAAAACAAAGAATAATCAAAACTAAATTGTGAGCTCGTCGTGTTTCTTATCATCAACATACGCACATGCCACATAAGTGTTATTTATATATATGAAAATTGCAAAATCAACAGACTAATGTTTACAGATTGGTATTGGTTTGGAGGGAGAGAGACCAAAAAAGTTGCTTAGAGACAGTAAATACGTTGGTCACGTCTCAAAACAATGGCCTACATTTATTGCGTCCATTAGTTTTTTAGACGTTCGTTGTTGTTGGTCGACTCAAAGAAATATAATATAAACTGTAATACATGTGTGTTTTTTTTTTTTTTTTACAGACCGATAAGACGCCCGCGGCGTAGTCCATACCGTCTTGTATTATACAACTCTAGTGTTTTAGAGAATCCCGCGGGAACAACTACTACGACAAAAATTATGATATTCGTGTGTTTTATGGGTTTTAACAAAGAGTGCAAATAATATTTGTACAAATTCGCGTACTTTTTTTCAAGCTTCTTAGTTAAATAATACCGCACCTTAACTTGTTCTCCTTTTGCAATGGCGTACGACAATTACAGACATTGTTGTTGCGCCACCGGTGTTACCGCGGTCCCGGCACTGTGATAACATGTTATCATGAATGCGGCTTTCTCGTCGTCCGTTTACCTGCGACTATGGCGACGTACCCTGTTGTTCGTCGCCGTTATATTATGCTTGCAAATGATGTCGACGGCCTTTGTTGCCGGCGCCGAGAAAACTTCGGAGTTCGTCAAAGGCAAAAGTAAGTGTTTTATTATATTAACTAACCCACTTGCTAGTCTTAAACCATTAAAAATTGCAATGAGATCGTTACTACAGTTGTTGTTATAGCTTGTAAGATCATTACTTTACACATTTTTACCATTATTTAAATATTACGTGTTAAAATAATATACCAACTTCTGCGCAGTTTTTAAATTAATGACTTGACTGCACTGTATAAACTTGTATAGCAAATACCCTTGAAAGTTACGTCAGAAAATTCCAAATATCGCCATCGTTCGGATTTAATAATAATACAATTTTAATTGTTATTTTTATTACTCTGCTTTGTAACGTTTGTTTAAATTTAGTAGATGACAAATAAAAATATTGCAATAACAAATAATGTATGTTATGTTTACCATGTAAAATATTAGTGATGTGATTTGTATATATCCTTCGAAATAATTGTATTTATTTAAGTTTTTTTGGAATTCAATTCTCGGTTGATGTATGAAAATCGCCCTGATTACAATGCTACTAAAATTGGAGCGATTTGTGCGTTTTCTTTTTGGTAGTTAAATATATTGACTTTTTCTCGTGCATTTGTAACGTTATTTTTCGAAATCGCGTGCTAGATTCCTATATATTTAGTAAGGTTTTACACAAACCATTTGCAGATCTGAAGTTCACATTATCCGATTGCTGCTCCTTTTGATAGCTCACATATTCTTTTGGTTTGTTTGCACCGGAACGTGTCGTACGAAATCGTGTGCACGACGACGGTTTATGCACTCTGCTTCGGCTGTTCAATAGTAATAAATAATAAAATATTGGCTGTTAATTCTCAACAGGAGAGTTCAATGTGTGATTATTATGTTTTATGACTAAAAAAATTTATACCACAAGCTCTCGGGTCGGTGACACTACGTAGTTTACGTAGGTACTTTGTTTACATACCTAGTATATAGTTTACATATCTTCCTATGACTCCATTGATTACTTCTTTTGCAACTTTATGTATTAGATTTCTAAAAATGCAAACGGATTATTTTTCATAAACTCGGTTACTCTTTCTCGTTAGTTATTCTAATCAATAAATGTTAATATGCTTTCTTATAATTCTAATTTATTGATTTTTTTAATAAACCAATCATGACTTAATGCGGAACTTGTATTATGAACGGCCATAAAATAATTATAAATTAAATTAAAGAATCTCCAACGCTAGACGTCTTTATATTAAAATTAATACCCATAAAGCAAAAAAACATTTTCAATGCATTATTATTTAGGTTCATAAAATGGCGATTAATATTATGTATAATTATTTTGGACACGACAGTCGAGTTTTACCGATGAGAAAACGGGTTTATATTCGCATGCTTTTCTTCTTTGTATTCAATGAATTGTATTTTTATATTATTAGAGGGGAGGGGTATTAACGATAAATATTTGTGAAAATATGCTCAGCCAAGTAGACGAACCGTCGTCGGGGCAACTTGTCATCCGGCCAAGCATTAGGTGACAGCTAGTCGTTATGCAATTAATGGATCACTTCACTGATCATATATGTATGCAGCTCTTTTACTGTTTTCTATGTTTAATAACATAGAAATATATATGTATTCAGTTAATTTGTTATTTTGTCGTTTAGTAATAATTACTTGACGACAAAATATATTTTCATCGTCTAATTTTAAACTAACCCAGACCCTGATGATTTTCTTAGTCACAATAAATTGTCATTACAATATTATAATTAAATAGTAGAATTATGTACTCCAAAATTGTCGCATAAAAATTGCATCACCGTGATGTTTTTTTGCACTTGTAAATCCTATTAGTGCAATGTAATAATTTAATTAGCAGACGTACTTCCAAACACCTACCTAATCCTTGACGGTCAAATAGTATTAAAATTTACAGAAATACCTACAAGTATTTATTTTGAATGGGAAGTCTAATTAATTTAAATGGTAATCGGTTCAAAGCGTTAAATATGCCCTACGGATTCCCTAAATTATTTCACATTCCTAAAATGGTAAACGCTCTTGTTTTTTACTTGGAACCCAAGTGATGTGATACAGGCGAATACCAAAACTATCGAGAAATCTGGAGCAGTATCATAATTGTCGAAGAACGAGTTAAATATACATTAAAATGCGTGGCCGAGCTTGCTGCAGGCGATTGTCTTGAACATAACCTATTGCAGAGCAAGTGAGTTTTGACTACTGAAGTCGCTTTTACCCCATGCACGCACACTAGTGTGTAACACTAGTGTTAGAAACTAAACTTAAAATTCGTTTTTGAATATAAATAGTTGTTAGAAATGTTAAATGGTCGTAAATCATCATACAGATTAATTATATTATTAACCGCGTGATGTTCTAAAATGTTGAGATAACGATGTTGGCGGCTGCGGCGCCGGCGGATGAGTCTCTAAAGGAATTACTGTTGCTTAGCATACAGTGTTTAATTCTAATATTAATTGCTACGTACGTGTCAAAAATCAAAATCTTATAATTACACCCCGAGGCCACCGATACCGAACCAAATATCACACCTTCTGGACGGTTCCCACACTTGTCTGTGTTTAACGAACATTTTTTACGCTATTCACTTGCGTATTGTTTTCGATATCGTTGTCCTAGGGATACAATAACAATAATACGCATAGCACAAGGCTGACGGTACGGTCAAAAGACGATCGAATAAGGTAGAAGTTTCTTCTATAATACTTGCAAACGGTCATGAAGTCCGTGCACAGGCGGCAGTAGTAAATACACAAATTGTATTGTAGCTATACATGTATTGCCCTTTTAGAACAAAAAGAATAAAAATATTTGTATATGTGTATTTCGGACAAGTATCGAAGAGAGAAAAACGTATAATTATTATACACAAAGCCTCTGGGTACGATGACTGAGCACATACCTATCCTCCACTCGGAACATACCGAATACCATGTACCACACATCGGCGTACCATTATTATATTATTGTACAGCCGGTTTTTGGTTTTTATAAGGCGGCAGTCGACGGGGTTCTTTTACACACAGGTGGTTCTCCTCCGCGCACATAATATAATATTAAAATCCTACAGAATATTTATGTGATTCGTACGGTCGGTAAACCTTTTTTTTTTTACTGTCATCATTCTCGCGAGGAATTTACGGCGACTTTTACTGTTCATTTGTTAAATCATTGTCGCCTAGCTGTAAGACTTTCCTCTACGTCTTGTTGCTTGATTTTTCTGTACTATGAGGGCGTATAATTTGTCCAAACTGCCCGAGAATGATGGTAATCGAGGCGCCTCGGAATTCACTCCCACTCATCATAAACTATGCTGGCCAAACACGATCGCCGAAAGACACGAAATAGTTTTACTGTACCGTCATTACATTTATTATTAGCAATATAATAATCCGTTCGTTTGATATTATATATATATATATATTCGTCATTTATAATGTAACTATTCCCGGTATCCCGCGTTGAGGTCATCTGACTTCCAGTTATGTGATTAAATATTCGGATGAATCACAAGACGACTGTGTTGGTTAAAATTGTAATTGGTTTTTTTTTTACTAAAATCCATGTTATTGCAGAAGATGAGCTGAGTTTTACCGAATAGGAATTTATTTACGACTGTGTTTAATTGCAGTGTTGATCATAAGCTGTGGTCAACGCGAAATTGGATTTCTAATAAAATAAATTAACGTCGTCGAAAGTCATTGGGCATCGACTGAAGGTGATTTTTCGAACAGTTTGTTTACCGGTTGCCATCATAGCCTTGTTATTACAAGTTATAAATTAGTCTGTACATTTTTTTCCCCTTAAACAAATCCCACTACTCAGTGATTTCTATCACAATTATGTGTTATGTGAGCGTAACAAAATATGTTTATAATAATATTCAAAGCTGCTGATATCTTGAAATTCATCTTTTGAAATTATCGAACGAGCTCGCCGCTGAGTAAATAAATAATGCGGCTCGCTATCATATGTATGATCTGACGGTTAGAACAAAAACTTGTTTCAAAGAAAAACGAACACTTTTCGTGTGGCTTTGGTCAACATCAGCTCATTACGCATTCGAATGGCTGTAAATGTTTTTAGGCGGTAGAGACTTTAACGGTAGACGGAATATAAAAGATATTTTGTAAAACTCGACCAAGTTTACTTTTTATTACGTTATGCATGTGTTATTATTTAAAAAAAAAATAATACTCATGTTATATGCTGCAAAATATCGATTGTCAGACGTTTGTAAGAAGATTCATACATCTTGAAAATAATAATAAAAAAAGTTTTACATTTGTAATTAAATAAAATAGAAATACAAAAACGCCATTTGGGCATGCTTTGATTGCATTTTTCTGAGAACTCTCAGCGGGACACTAGAGTTTTCATTTGTAGAATGATCGATAGGGATAACAGACCCCTACCGACCTGCACCCTATTAATTTTAATAGTAATGAAATTAAATTTAACATATTACTGGTGTATGATTATTGTTATTCGTTATAGTCATACCTGAGCATTTATTCCTATTAATTATACCCACATATCTCGAAGACAAATATGATTTCTTAAATATTAAAACAATGCGGCCCAGACATAATTTAAAATGATTACCGATTGAATTCTATTACATTATCTTGTTATAATACGCATTGTACCCACGTAATTCTCTCTTATCGCTGAAAATCCGAAGAAAAGACGAATTGGCATTTTCAAAAACTGAAGGCAGTCTATGTAAGGCGAGAATTTAATAATTCTACTTTATCAGCATTTTATTATTTTGAGAACTAAAGTCTAGCATGCTCTTGCTGATAACAATTTGATTTTGACTGAATTTTTTTTAATAAACCGATATTACTATTAAATCACCAAAATTATCAATAAAAAACTAATTTATCGTTGAGCCAATTAAAAATATTTTAATGTGTCAAATTATAAAAATATCTTGTTATAAGAAACTAAATTTCTACATTATAAAAAATAGTTTGTAGATATAATATATTCGATTCGTTAGGACTCGAGTGCTAAGTCAATTCGAATCGGCTGAAATAATTTTTAATAAAAATTACTCTAAAAAAATGGTTTACGTTATACTTGAATAAATAAATAACTACTTAACATAAAATGTTCTCGTTTACTAATTAGTAAGTGTTTCTGATATTGTATAGTGGCATGCTGATATTTGATTTATTTGCATAGTTTATTATTTCAAATATGAAATTTTCATAAAACATTTTACAAATGAGTTCGGTTGTTAATTATACACTATATTAGTACTTTCTTTAACTATTCTAATTTTAACTCCTTACTTACGAGTCAATAATTCAAATCGACATTGGTGCAAATAGGGGAGTTTTAGCTACTTAGCACTTTTAAGCAAATTTCACCATTCTTTTAAATTTTTTTACCTTTAGAACTTTAGTACCCTTAAATTAATATCACTATTTAGGCTTTTGTAAATCGAGATTAATACCCTTAAGGATGTGTTTTTTATTTTACCATTGTACAGCGTCAGTTTTAAATTCAACCGAAAGGCATGTGATATCAATTCAAATACAGGTTCAATAATAAGATATTTTTAATTATTGTGGTTTCTCATAACACTCCACAATTCACGTATTGTTGTGTGTAGCTTTGAATTGATATTGTACTATAGAGAAACTGAACCATTTTTTGGCGCCCGTAGTGCAATAGACTTTTAATTAAAAAATCGATATTATATTATCCGTTTTAACCGTTTTATTCCATTATTATTATTATCAACGCTTTCGTCTCCTTCGTCATTTTTATCATCGACAACATCAATAACAACAATACGTAACCGTAACAATAACGTGAGAATGACCAGGAGCATCGTTGTCCTAGCATTATTGTTCTTTAGATGGTACTCATAACCGTCACACATACCAATGTACAGAAAGTGGATTAACGCGAGCCAAAGAAAATGGGGCTTGTATAATAACGTAAGGGCCTTGGCCTGGGGAATTTTTCAGCAAGTTCACGGCATAACGCCTTACCTTAATCGATGGAAATCGCTAGAAATATGCACTTAAAATTCCTCTCGTATAGCTTGATACAGTTAGTAGTCGATATTAATTTATATATTTATTTTCAGTATGCATTGGTACCAACGGTCGTATGTCTGTTCCATCGAACAGAGACCACCATTACCGAAACCTGAGGGATCGTTACACAAACTGCACATATGTAGACGGAAACTTGGAGTTAACTTGGCTTCAGGACGAACATTTGGACCTAAGCTTTTTACAACATATACGCGAGGTAACCGGATATGTGTTAATAAGTCATGTAGACGTCAGCAAAATTGTGTTGCCCCGACTACAAATCATTCGAGGCCGTACTCTATTCAAATTGGCTGTTAAGGACGAAGAGTTCTCTTTAATGGTTATGTTGTCCAAAATGAATAATCTCGAATTACCAGCTCTAAGAGGTATGCATTCCACCCGTCCTTTATAAGATAAGTGTGTTTATAACTTATTATTTTTGTGTTGTATAGATATTTTAGCTGGAAATGTGGGCATGCTCGACAACTACAACTTGTGTCATATGCGTACTATAAACTGGGACGAGATAATTACTGGACAAGGTGCAAAATCCGTGTACTCATACAATTTCTCTAATTCTGAACGAGAATGTCCGCCCTGTGACAAATCTTGTACTGGAGGTTGTTGGGGAGAAGGTCCTCATAATTGTCAAAAATTTTCCAAGATAAATTGCAGTCCTCAATGTTACCAGGGCCGTTGTTTTGGGCCCAAACCCAGAGACTGCTGTCACTTGTTTTGCGCCGGTGGCTGTACTGGTCCTAAGCAAAGCGATTGCCTCGTAAGTAGTTGAAATATTTTCTATCATCAAACACAGTCAGATTATCTTTTCTAAATGTGCAATGTTTGTGTGTTTTAAAGGCTTGTCGGAATTTTTATGACGACGGTGTTTGCACCCAAGAATGTCCTGCCATGCAACGTTACAACTCTATCACGTACTCGTGGGAAACGAATCCAAACGGAAAGTATGCTTACGGTGCGACCTGCGTGAAAAATTGCCCAGAGCACTTGCTCAAGGACAACGGTGCCTGCGTACGAAGTTGTCCGCCAAAGAAAAAGGTAAATTTTATTGTAATGAACACTTATTTTCACGCGTTTTTATTATTTAATCCATTAATTGGATAATATAATTTAGGCTGTGAACGGTGAATGCGTTCTGTGTGATGGACCTTGTCCGAAAACTTGTGAAGGGGTAGCTACCATACACGATAGTAACATTGACAGTTTTAAGGACTGCACCGTTATTGAAGGCTCACTGACTATTTTGGATCAGACGTTCAAAGGGTTTCAACAAGTCTTTGCCAATTTCAGTTTCGGTCAACGCATAAAAGCTATGCACCCTGATCGATTGGAAGTTTTCAGTACATTAAAAGAAGTTACTGGTTACATAAATATTCAAGGATCGCACGAAGACTTCAAGAATTTATCATATTTTAGGTAATTTTTCATAAATTATAAAATACTATTTGTTTAGAAATTTTATCTATTCAGTCTATTTCAAGTCTTTTCATAATGTATTAATTAAACAATTTGTTGAATTTATCTCTGTAGAAACTTGGAAGTAATTGGAGGCCGTACAGTCACTGAATATTTTGCATCATTGTATATTGTGAAAACTTCGTTAACGTCGTTAGGTTTAAGATCATTGAAAAAAATTCATTCCGGAAGTGTTGCAATATTAGAAAACAAAAGACTGTGTTATGCTCAGACGATAGATTGGGAATCGATAAAAAAATCTTCTGAACATCCAAAGCTATTACAAAACAACAAAAATGAATCTTTATGCAGTAAGTCATCATCTCTAAACTACAAACTCATTTATTCTTAAAAAACGTTAATAATATTCGCGTAATCATATAGTTGCAGAAAGCGACGTATGTGATCCAGAGTGTTCGAAACAAGGATGCTGGGGTCCAGGGCCACAGCAGTGTTTGTCTTGTCGAAATTTCCAGTACCAAAACCAATGTTTACCAAGTTGTAGTTACGTGCCTGGGTATATACTAACAATTATTTTTCATTATTCGAACAAAATTTGATATTTTTCTTTTATAGTCTTTATGAAGCTGGAGATAAGACTTGCGCGGCTTGTCATTCTGAATGCGACGGTGGCTGCCATGGTCCTGGTTCAGAACATTGCACTAAATGCCACAATTATCGTGATGGTATGCATTGCGTGTCTCAGTGTCCTGCGTCCAAGTATAGTGCAAGTCAATCCAAACCTAGTACGTGTTTACCTTGCCACGCGAATTGTGTTGGAGGATGCGGTGGTCCAGATAATACCATCGGTCCCAACGGCTGTCGTTCATGTCATAAAGCCGTACTTAATGCTGATGCATCTGTGGTAAATATTAAATATTTAAACATTGATACATTTCACTACGTATAAAATATTATCAGACAGGGAGTACCACCATTCCCTCGTTATAAATTTTATTTCTCGAGTGCAGTAAATGTTATCTTTTTCTTCATTCTTATACAATAGTCTCGATCTCGACCAATTAATCTTGACTCTATTCACTGAGTTAGTTCGCATTCATCTATAACAATCGTGTTTTGATCGTTTTACAGGAGAGATGTTTACACAAAAATGAAACTTGTCCAAACGGCTACTATTACGAATGGGTCGGACCACTGGAACAAGGCGGCGCGGCTCTTCGTGCTTTGGCCGGCAAAGCTGTGTGTAGAAAATGTCATCCGCGATGCTTACGATGCACTGGTTTCGGGTTTCATGATCAAGTGTGCCAACGTTGTGCGGGGTACAAGCGTGGTGATCAATGTGTGGACGAATGTCCTATTGAATACTATGCTACTACCAATACCCTGCCTTCAGGTGAACAAGAACGCGAGTGTGTCGCATGTGATATCATGTGCAGAGGGTGCTATGGACCACATGTTTCACAATGTCATGCTTGTCGACATTTCAAAATATTTGAGGTAAGTTAATTTATAAACACACATTTTGCACAATACACTAAATTATACTTAAAAAACAAAACTAAATTTATTTATTTTAGCCAACTGGAAACCCTTCAGACAACCGAACTGCATTTAATTGTTCAGGACCAATCTGCCCATCTTTTGCTCCTTATAAGGTATTTACTAAAGATGACCAAGACCCCTACTGTTCAGCTGATGATGTCAGGATGGCTTCACGACTGTAAGTAATTTTTTTTTTTGTTTTTATCACTGAACCAATATCTAATTTTAAAAATAATTTTGTTTAGTGGTGATTCTGATCAAATACCTTTGATATTGAGTGCGGTTGTGGTTTTCACTTTTTTGGTCATGGTCTTACTTATGATTCTTGTTTGGCACTGGAGAAGACGTGCTAGAGCTAAAGAAACTGCTGTTAAAATGACTATGGTGCTAACCGGAATGGAGGACAATGAACCATTAAGACCATCTAATGTTAAGCCAAATACGGCTAAATTAAGGATTGTTAAAGAAGTTGACTTAAGAATTGGTGCTGAACTAGGAAATGGAGCATTTGGAGTTGTGTATAAGGTAAATTATGCAATATATTTTCTTTACAATCTAATGAATACTAATTATAACTCAATATTTAATTTTAATGAGTATTATTTTATTCACAGGGTGTTTGGGTTGTAGAAGGTGAAAATATTAAAATTCCAGTAGCTATCAAAAAATTGCACAAAAAAGATGACACATGTGCATATGAAAACACTAGTAAAGAATTCTTGGACGAAGCATACATCATGGCTAGTGTTGAACATGATAATTTAGTTAAACTACTAGCTGTTTGTATGACATCTGAAATGATGTTAGTTACTCAACTTATGCCTCTTGGTTGTCTGTTAAAACATGTACGAAACCATAAAGATAAAATTGGTTCAAAAACGTTCCTTAAGTGGTGTACTCAAATAGCTAAAGGTAAATATTAATTATTAATTATAGGACCAATAAATAGTACTATGTATTTTTTTACCCAATCAATAAATTTTATGTAATATTTTACTTTACTGTTGTTTTAATATTTTTAGGTATGGCCTATTTAGAGGAAAAAAGACTGGTGCATAGAGATCTAGCTGCTCGTAATGTACTTGTTCAAAATACAAATTGTGTAAAAATCACAGATTTTGGTTTAGCAAAATTACTAGACGTTGATCAATTAGAATACACAGCTGATGGTGGTAAAATGCCAGTGAAATGGTTAGCTCCTGAATGTTTAAAGTACAGAGTTTTCACACACAAAAGTGATGTTTGGGCTTTTGGTAATTTTGAAAAAAATTAATTGAAATAGGCTAGAATTGTATAGTATACAACTAATCAATAATTATATTTATTAACAGGTATCACTGTTTGGGAATTACTAACTTATGGTAAACAACCATATGAAAATGTAGACAAAAAAGAAGTTTTAGGCTTATTAGAAAAAGGAGAACGCTTACCTCAACCACCCATATGTACTATAGATGTCTATATGGTTATGGTTAAATGTTGGCTTATTGAGAAAGATAGTCGTCCAAGTTTTGAAGAACTTGCTGATGAATTTGCTAAAATGGCCATTGATCCAGGTCGTTATCTGGTCATACCAGGAGATCGCTACATGAGATTACCTTCATATTCTTCACAAGATGATAATGAAATACTCTCAAACTTGGCTACAGAGAGTGCTGATTTGAGTATCATAGAAGCAGATGAATACATGAACCCAAAAATGGGAAATGGTATGCCTGGACCTTCAAGACTAGGATCATGCAGTACAGCTGGTGCTGATATGATAGGGGGTCCTATGCATAGCAGGCATAATTGGGATCGTGAACTTCGAAGATTTAGTGATATACATAGATTGGGTAAGCAACATTTTTATCAAATAATATTTAAAAAACTTTCATTATCAAGTAATATTATTATTTGTTTTTGATTTAACAGATTGTGATACTTCTGATGATCTCAGCAATGGAAGCAAAGCGCAGATAGGTACTCTAAAGTTAGACTTGCCATTAGATGAAGATGATTATTTAATGCCATCACCAGCCAATGAAGAGATGGACTTAAAACGTCGACATACTCCAGCTAATTATATAGATTTAATTGGTCACCAACATGCTGAGGGTAAGTAGCAGAATAACTTTAAAAAATGTGTTAACATTTACCTTATATAAATTAATAAAACATTAATTTTATAGCTGAATATGCAAATGGAATACCTAGACCACCTGGTTTAACAAAAAATTTTCATCCAGATTTCATACCTACTCAAGTTAGTAGTGTAGATAATCCTGAATACCATATGACTGGTAATGAAACAAATAGCAATTCTGCTATTACCTCAAATACTAATGGTGCTACTACTGTTGAGCCGCAATCGCCTGCTCCCAATGGTCGAAGTCTAGAAGAAGAATCAGACCATGAGTACTACAATGACTTTGACCGATTACAACGTGAACTCCAGCCTCTTAGGCGTAATGAGACGACTGTTTAATCTTCTAATTTTAGTGGATTTTTTTGTAAACTCTTAATTATTTTTTTTTAATTTCTGTTGACTCATTTTAAGAATACTCTATAAAAACATGTTTTACAACTCTCTTGCAACAAAAATGTTTCATTGCATGAATATTATTATATAATAGAGGGTCTGTTTAACTTTTATTTTTATGTAAAAAGTTGTATGTAATTATATTATTATCTACTACTGTGCCATTATTTTCATTAACCGACTGTATAATGTTTGTTTTTTTGTTTCTTTTTTACTTTGAAGAGATGTAAGTAAAAAAAAAAATTTATGTTTGTCTGTTATTAAAAAAGAGTTATGTTATGATTTTATATAATGCCAGTTGAAAAACAGTGAACAAAAATTTTTGTAAATATGTATGACAAATGTACTTAAAGACAAAATCAAAAACTATTTTAATCCCAAATATATTTTATGACTATTGCCTTTAAGTACTCTAAATAGGTATAAATGTGTTTTTTTTTTTTATTTTTTATTAAGAGGCTGTGATATTTATTAGGTTACTGTAAATAATTTTTATTTAAAATATAAATTACATTCAAGAGTAAGGTTACTTGTTTTTATACAATGTTTTTCTATATTGAATTATATTATTAACTACTGCAATATTATATATTTGATAAACAATATAACATACTGACGTTTAATTTTTACCAATTGGTATCTATACTATTCATCATGTAAGTAGATATTATAGTTAAATGTACTTTTGGAATATTTTCAAATTGTTGTACTTATATACTATATAATGTATCCAATTTTATTAATTGTGTTATATATTAGATCTCTTTAATTTCATTGTATCATACTTTTTATTATTATTATAGATCACACAAATAGTCTTGCCATCTACTATACTCATTATTATTTGTTTACATTAAAAAAACTGATAAATAAGTTGTACTATTTATATATTTTCATTCATACAAATGTGCCATTTAATTATATAAATATTTCAAATTTGCCAGAAAACCATTTGATTATGCAGGAAACTAAAAAAAAAATTTTATAACTATTATTTAAATATATAAAATTGATGTTAAAAATCTGTGTGATTTATTCAATTGTACAATTAGTGAATATTGTAACATTGTTTGTAAAGTTGATCTGTAAAATATGAATATAGAGCAAGTTGATTGATTAATTTTGTTTTTTTTTTAGCTGTTAGAATAATTAAAACTAATATGACAAATTTTAAAAGTACTCATGATCAATTCCAAGACGAAATCTATTTGTGCCATAGCCAACCTAACCAAATTATTAAATTAAAGTAAAATATTAAAATGGGATAAACACTTCAAAATTTTTTAGCTTCGATGCGAAGCTGAGGAGGTATTAATTTTACTATAATATGTTTTTTTTTTGCGTCTGTGAACGCTCAATCTCAGCTCTCGCTGAACCGATTTTGATGAACAATACGTCAAAAGATCACAAATCGTACCTAGTCGAAGACACTACCCTCTGTGGTGGTGTCACGTTACCATTATTGTGAGAATTATTTTAATAAAAGATATTCATAACACTTGTATTTTTAAAAACCCAGCACAGGGGGGTCGCGGCACAGTTGTGACGTGGTATAGTTGGATCAAGTATAATGATATCTGACAGTGATTAAAATCACTATCAAAAATAAACGCTTCGATTCAAATCTTTAGATAGTGCTTAATTTAAAAAAAATTGGTGTTTTATTCCAAAAGCTACTTGATCTGCTAGTCCCTTATTAATATCTCGATAAAGATAAAGTATGTCAAATGAAAAAGGATTTATTAAAAAATTTATTTCTCATAAAAAAATTGTGTGGATCCATAAACTTTTCAATAAGTTATAGCATTATAAAGTTAAATATTATATAAATAATAAAATCGAAAATTTTCACACAAAAATAGCATTCGGTAGCCGTTTTCACCATGAAGACAAGTCCAGAGGTCAAATTTTTTTTTTTCAAATTAAAGTACATTACATTAGCTTTAATTTAAGATATATATAAAAGTGTCAGACCTTCCGGAACATTTTCAAAAGTTAAGTTGAAAAAGTTAATTTTTTGTGAAAAAGTTGTCATTTTAAATCCCCCCCTGTGGGCAGATAAAAGGTCAAATTTACAAAAAAAATATACCAAATGATAGGTAAAGACATCAAGCATCTATATAAAAAAAAATTATATTGATATGTTCATTTTTGAAAAAGTTACGGCAGTTTTTAGTAAAAAAAATTGAAAAAATTTCGAAAATTAGCGATTTTTAAATTTGTAATTTTTTTGGAGGTTTCCCCCATTTACGGGGAACGAGGGAAATTTTTTCAATTTTGAAGGGTAATGTCTTCGACTAGATACGATTTGTGATCTTTTGACGTATCGTTGAAAGAAATCCGTTCGGTGAGAGCTAACAAAAAGTGGTAACAGACACAAAAAAAAAAAAAAAACATCATAGTAAAACCAATACCTTCTCAGCTTCGCATCGAAGCTAAAATACAGACAGCAAATTCGCTTTCTGAGACTGATGAATTAACAAATAGTATTGATTGCCAAATTGGCAATAATTCTAATTATTATAAAAACCCAATAGACCTAACCATCGTAGTCAGTCGACTCCAGTGCCTTGTGTCATTCATCAATCTCAGTACTCGGTTGTCGCTGTCCGGCTTACTGTTTAAAGTAAAGTCTTTGTTTATTCCTTTTTAAACCTATCTACTCTCTTCCACAACATTTCAGGGTACTTGTGTCTTGCACTTCGTCTGCACCTCATACTCGGCTACCCCTGTTCTTTGTCCTCTTCTATACCCAAAGTATTTGTGTCTTGCACTTCGTCTGCACCTCATACCTAGGTGTTACCCTTATTCCCTTCCTATAACAACAGCCTTTCGACACCCACAGCTAACCCGGAGTGTCAGCCGAGCACGGTGACTGCTGTACGACAACACACGTGAATACCTAGACAGCAGGCACCACATCCTCATGTTCATCTTCGCATCACAATTACGATTACATTTACACGTTTATTTTATTGTGTTACGACACCTCGAAAATTAAAAAAAAACTCGTTCTCCGTAAACGAGGGAAATCCCCCAAAAAATTACTATTTTAAATATCGATCATTTTCGAAATTTTTTTTTTTAAAACTGCCATTACTTTTCAAAAATGACCAAATCAATATAACTTTTTTTTTTATAGATACCTTAGGTATTTCTTTACGTTTGATATATTTTTGTAAACATTTGACACTTTACCAGCCCACAGGAAAGTGTTTCATAATGGCAACTTTTTCTACTTAACTTTTGAAAATATTACGGAAAGACTGACACTTTTATATATACCTTAAATTAAAGCTAATGTAATATACTTTAATTTGAAAAAAAAAAAATTTAACCTCTGGACTTGTCTTTATAGTGAAAATGACTACCGTATGCAAATATATGCTATTTTTGTGTTAAAATTCTGGGTTTTGTATTTTATTTTATTTTAAAATACCTGACAAGGGGAATACAGATTTTCATAAATATTATATAAATAAAAAATTAATATAGCATAGAAAGTTAAACTTATTTAAATTTGTTTGCTTCTTTTAAGTCGAGAAAAATNGAGTTAAACTTATTTAATTTTTTTAAGTCGAGAAAAATAACTTTGAAATTTGAACCAACTTAAATAGCCATTTTTTTCAGCTAAGGGAAAAATGGTACGTTTGCAGAGTCGGTAAAACTTGTGTTTTACGCGATTTGGGTACAAGGTTTTCCAACTCGCGTATGGCAAAGAATTTTTTGCATTTTTTCTTTATTCTTTTTAAGTTAGAATAATTTTTCAACTGCTTTGATTTTTAACACGCTTTTATTAGTTTCACATGTATGTTTGTTGTTTGTAGTTTGTAACTTTCCACGCGCACGAGACTAGACGGTCGAACGCATTCACCCCACCCCGCTCTCCAATCGTCGAAAATAATATTTTCTAACCCGTATACGCGCGCGTCATCAATTATATATATATAATTATATATATGTAAATAAATTTTTATTGAGACACGGCACCGTCACTCGTGCTACCTTTATCAGCCGTCGCCATACTATTAGTATAAGTAATCATACGCCACGGTGTAAAGTCCAGCAAGTGCCGCACGGCCAACGATGACCCGCCGCAAATGATACGTTGAGTCTTCTTCCCGTTGTTAAAGTGGCAACGTCACTGATGTACGCCACCGGCTCCTGACGAGCCGCACGATCGAACCGATCCGCGTATCGTCGCCATTAACGCTGCTAACTTTTCGACGCCCGAGAATCTTGCCGGAAACCGCCTACGAAAGTGCCGCGATATTTTACGAAGATTATTTTCATTTTGTCCAATTCGTATAAAATATATATTTTAATTTCTTCAATATATTAACATACGAATAAAATAATCTATAAAATCGAATTAATTTCTAAATAATTCATATTAATGAATATTTGTTTTTACTACAATTCTATTGTACAAATAAGAACAACTCGAATAAAAAAAATTTAAGTTCTATATAACTGCGTTTTGAGTTTTGTATTTAAACATTTTTGTGTTTATTTAAAGCACCAAGGTTTTTAGAAGTTTAATAAATTCTATTGACATATTGGTCATGAACCTTTTTACTCACATTTTTGATGTCCCAACTAATAAGCAGTTATTTTTGGGAAACAAAGTAATGATGAATAATTACGCGAGTTTTTTCCGAATAAATATTTCAGTATGGGGCCAAAGCTCAATATTTACGCTAACCTGAATGCGTGCTGCTTTCCTTGGATGTGGTAGCCGTTTCTCAGCTCCCTCCCTGGAATCGAACCCTGATTTACCGTTACCCGTTACAACCACGATATTGATAGTAACTACTATCATAACATGAAACTAAAAAGTGAAAAATAAATATAGTTTAAAAAAACTGAAAAAACACGCTTTTAAAGTACATTGAACTAAAAAGTTAAAATAATTTTTAAAATAAGCTTAAAACAATAATGAACGAAAAATACTAGTTTTATTGTGATAAAAGCGTTGGGCGCTCACTATATATAAAATATGGCACAAAGCACCCATGCTTTTATCACAATAATACTAGTATTTTTCGTTCATTATTGTTTCAAGCTTATTTTAAAAATTAATTTTACTTTTTACTTATAATATATAAGTAATTTTGTAATTTATTTATTTTTGAATTTTTATCCATATTTATATATCATATGGTAACAAATCATGTCTTTTAATTTAAAAAATGAACTTTTTTATACATATTTTATACTTTTTTAAAAATAAGCACGCACCTGCTAAAGGGTTAACAACTTTGTTTTGATTGGTTCATTTAGTTCATTAAGCCCTTTAAATTTTTATACACGTAAAAGCAAAGAAAAATATAATTTCTTTATTATTTTTATAATTGCTCCGTATAAATTACAACATTAGATTATTAAATATCAATTTCATACTAAATTTAATTACTATAATTATTATGTATTCATACATTATAATTATAAATCGGGTTAAAAATAAGAGAATAAGAGTTATTGTTGCTTTTGAAATAATCCACCAATTTTTTAAAATTAAACACTATCTACAGATTTGCAACGAAGCGTTTCTTATGATAGTGATTTTAATCAGTCAGATATCATCTATACTTGTCTCAACTATACCGCGACCCCAATGTGCTACCGTTTTTAAAACAGGTTCTCAATGATAAAAATTAATACTTCATCACGGGCTATTTTGATATACAAAACAATTATAAAAAAATATTAACAAACATATTCTTGATAATTGTCTGCGATTAGTTAAAAATAAAACAATATTAAACATTTGAAAATGATCCAAAATACAACTGAACGACTTAAAATCGTCCTTCCTTTAAACTAACTCAAATTAATTTTATAAATTTTAACAAAACATTTAATTGATGAAATAATTCAGGTTAAAAAAAATATTTTTTTTCATTTTAAATAAAATATTTAAAGATTATTGTTTATAAGCTTATAATTTAAAATAACATTGAATGAGATTGAAAAATTATACATATATATTTTTTTTTATTTATATACATATCATATAATTTTGTTAGTAATAATATTTGATTTATCATTGTAAATATTCCAAAGGGTTATTTTACAATCTTTACAAGCAATAGCAAGTAAATATTCAGTCTTCCAAAATGTTATTAATGATTTAGAAAAGGTAACATCCAAAACTCCATTAGAATGTGAGTCCAAAAGAGCCAATAACTTCATTGTTTTCCATGAAAATATTCTGACATTAAAATCCCAACAAACTGCTGCTATTAGTTTATTGTCTGATCTTAAACATAGCTCACTTATGCCAGGGTTTGTAATCTTAATACTTTTTTTCAAACATATTTTGTTATTTATCACTTGAAATGAGTAAATTGTATCTGAACTTCCGGCACAAACTCCTTTAGTTATATTACTATCTATATCTAAAGCCATTAAACATTCAACATCAGGGAATTCTGCTGTTTCATCAATTTTATCTTCAAGCCAAATAATGATTTTACACGATTCATATGCGCAAAAAATATAGTTTTTTACACATTTTATAACCATTAAATCCCCTAATGTACTATCATTTGGATTAAATGTTTTTACTTTTTCATAATTATGAATTGAAAAAAAGTTCATAACATATTTTTCCTTGTCTGATTTGCAAAGAATTAAATCGTTATCATACAAAACAAATTTGCAAAATCCAATAACTTGAGTTGTTATAGTATGAATATTAGACAAATTGTATTTATTTATTAACCAAAATTGAATTTCGCCTAATTTGTTTTGTGATATCAATAGATTTTTAGTTGTCAGTAGTTCCAATTTTAAAATGCATTGTTTACCAGCCTTCGTTTTACTTTTTTGTCGATTAGTCTGTAAAATGAAAAATAAAATTATTTTATTAATTACTCGCAATACATAAAAACTAATGATTTTGAGTATAGACGAAATTACTGCCAGGTCGACAAGGATATGGCCTAATCTAATATTATTCGGAAAATTTCACCAGAAAGTATTTTATAGAAATTATCTTACGAATTGTATGTTATTAAATTTGTTGATCTTAAAGTAAACATTTTGTATGAGCTATAATATGAATAATGATAAGGAAAAACATGTAGATATTTAATAGATTAGAAAAACGATAGTTAATATCTTCACGTTAATTTTGTAAATGATTATGTCTGTCCTTGAGTGATCTCTAGAAATATCAATTATCGGTATAAATGGCTAAATAATTAAATTAAAATTTTTTTAGAGGGCTATTTTAATTCTCTCTCTATAATATCTCCCCTAGCTATGAGACTAAACCTTCCTAGTTTAATTAGATCACGTTTAAAAAAATATCATTCAAAACGCGATCCGAATTTATTAAAATTAAATTTGTTTTCTTTTTATGCGATTAATAAGCATTTTTGTGATAAAACTTTTATATCCTCTTTAAAAAACAATTATATGATATAATGTGACAGACTGTTTCAAGTCATTTTAAATACAATGAAAAGTCTCGTGGAACGTTTAATTATTTTCAAACTTTTAATAATATATATAAGGTTTAAAACATTAAGTAATTTTTTAATTTTCCTCTCTAATATTATTTTTGAATAATAATACATATAGTTTTTCTCAAATTGGAGAAAAGTGTTTTAAGTAGACTTAAGTGACCCACTCAAGATTTTTTAATTAGGAAATTTTACATATCAAATTTCCTTTTTACACCCTCTGAAGTTGTATTTTACTTGTGTTATTATTTTAATATGATGAATTTCTGCTTTTAACCTCCCCTAATCTAGATACGCCTTGGTTTCAAAATTATGACCATTCAATGATCAATTAGGTCTCAAAAATACTTAATCCTGCTCTAACTAACATATCGGACAATCAAGTGCATTTAAAGGTACTGGGTAATATCGAAGTAACTTCGAATATGTTTCATAAATGTAGGGAGGATAGAAATAATTAGAAAAATAAAAGAATTTTTTGTCCAAAGACCTTTTTGCTAATGATGATGAAACATGATATTTTTCACCATAATTTTTTAGTGTACTGTTATAACAATTATAATTATTATTATTATATTATAATTATAGACAGTATTATTATAAAAATAGAACACTGACTATATTATTAATAGAATTAAGACTTCTAAGAAAATCTTTGCGTACAATTGAGATAGAAATTCAGCATTATACCAAAAATGAGAAGTAGAGTAAGAAAAATTTTTTAAAAAACACTTTGATAAACATTCTAAAATCATAATTGAATTATAAAACCAAAAAAGATGATAACTATTGTCAAAGAATCAAAACGCTTGAATTAAACATGATGGAGTAAAATAACTAAGAGTATTATAAATTACAAGATTATTAGAATTTAGACAAATTATGTTATGATGGAACAAGACTAAAATGTAATAATTTTATGGAGAGAATGTACAAAGAGAACCAATATGTCCAAGTGCATAATTTTGATTAAAAACTCATTAATTAAAACAATTATTATTATATATTTTACATATTGAATGTCCATTATAGTTTAAAATATGAATCAATTATATATGATATCTATTAAGTGCCAAAAAAAATCATAAGTTCAATTCATGAATATTTGAAATAGATACATTATTAAATGCAATAATATATCAAATATTAAATTTAATTACAATGATGCCTTTATTGCTACGAGTTCATAAATTGATATTAACACATGTTTTTTATTGTAGCACTTGATAGGTATCTGAAATAAGAAAGTTTACAAATGTTACTAAATGCTAATAATTTAAGTCAAATAAATGTTTTGTTTTTAATTATTTTTAAATAAAATAATTGTAGTGTTGTTTTAATAACTTGTTGAGATATTACCTCTAAATTCCAAGTTAGAATTTCCCCAGTTTGAGTTCCAGTATATAACAATTGATTAATTGAATCAAATAACAAACAATTAGGTATATATTCATCACATTTATAAGTGTACACTGGAGCTGGTATAGTTTTAAACATATTTCTATTAGAAAAATCTGATTTGAAGTTAACAACTTCACTATTAAAAAAAGATTACTTCAAAATAGTAAAATTATAAACTCAAAACTTAAATACCTCCAAAATTATTATTTATTATTTTCGAATAAAGATTATTTATATTAGTATGCATATCTAAAAAATAGTACTAATTGACTGCAAATAAAAAAAATATTTTGTTAAAAAAATGTACCATTTTAAACCAAATAATTTTGTAATCACTTGTTTTATCAACTAACTTTCACTCTTATCTATATAATATATAGATAAGAGTTATCTTGTTGCAGTATTTTTTTTTTTTTGTAATAACGTAATAGTTTCTGTAATATAGCTTTAGCATTTTAAAAGTTCCCTACTATACTATGCCTATATAACAATAAATAATTATCTTTATTAAATGTTTATTGCCAATTTTCATTAGAAAAGACCTTTAACCATAGATAATTTAACTACTCTTTATTATTAATATTTTTATATTAAACAATCATGTAATACATATAATCAGATATCGTTCAAGAAAATGATGTTTAATCTCAATCAGAGAGCTCGTAGAATGACCAAACATATTAGTAGAAAATAGTATTTATGTCTAGATTATACCTATTTGAGTTATTTGTTTGCATGAAAATGAATAAATTTTAAGGACATACATTTTAACTTAATCAGCAATCAATGACATAAACATGGGGGCTGACATTGCTATAAATCCAACTATTAGTATTACTATCAATTATCACAATAAACAGTGTATAATATTAAAACTTATTATAATTAAAATACACTTTAAAAATATAGTTTAAAAAACTAAAAAAACACGCTTTTAAAGCACATCGAACTAAAAAGTTAAAAATAAGTTTAAAATAATTATGAACAAAAAATACTAGTATTTTTTGCTCATAATTATTTTTAACTTTTTAGTTCGATGTGCTTTAAAAGCGTGTTTTTTTAGTTTTTTAAACTATATTTATTTTTTACTTTTTAGTTTCATGTTCTGATAGTAGTTTCTATCAATATCATGGTTCTTACGGGTAACGGGAAATCAGGGTTCGATTCCGGGGAGGGAGTCTGAGAAACGGCTCCCACGTCCAAGGAAAGCAGCAGGCGCGTAAATTACTCACTCCCGGAACGTGGAGGTAGTGACGAAAAATGACGATACGGAAATCATCCCTCGTAATCGGAATGAATACTTTATATCTCTTAATTAAAATAAAGCGTGTTAATAAATAAATTTTAATAGTAATTAGAATATATATACAGGGTGTTCAGTAAGTCAGGAAACGGGTATCTATTGTTCTCATTGTTTGTAACAATGAGAACAATAGATACCCGTTTCCTGACTTACTGAACACTCTGTATAATATAAGACGTATGCACGCGGATGATAATGGTCAGTCAAAATAAAAATTTGTTTATATATATATAATATTGATGATACGCACGTGTATACGGGTACGATAATCAAAAATAAATTTATGCAGGAATAGTATTGCCGGCGTGTAATGAGCGAGGCGTAGGGTGGGGTGAATGCGTTATGACAGTTTAGTCTAGACGACGGAATATGCGATAACGCGTGGCGTATTGAGAGTTACAAACATACATACATACATACATACATACATACAGGTGAAACTAATATAAGCGTGTTAAATATTTTGTATGTATTTTTATATTTTATTTTATGTGTATTTGTTTATAAAATAAAATAATTTTTAATTTTTATTTAATTATATTTAATTTAAACATTTTGCAGTAGGATATAGTTATGAATTAATTTTTTTAATAGAATTTAAACATTGATTACCTCTATTTCTAAATAAATGTATATTTTACAGCACGAAAATCTTAATAAATATGATATTGTTTTTTTTTATGTAAAAGTAGATTTGTTACTCCTAACATATCAACACATAAGGTGATTAAAGTGAAGTTTCTTATTTAAAGTTATGTAAATGCTCAATAATAATTTTCTGGCTATGTGTTTGAATGGTCCTCTGCTCAATTTGACAAATAAAACAACAAATCCCATTTTTAAAAAGAAATTATATATATCTTATAACATTTTCAAAATAAATTATTTCAAAGTAAATTATTTAAAAAAAAATTCTAAAAAGGGACTATATTAAATAGTAACTATTTAATAGTTACATTATTTCCTCAAATAATTAGTTTTTAGATTCTGAATCAGGATAATCATTATCAGATTTTATTTTGCTCAATCTTCCCATACCAGGTCTATATATTTCTATAGCTGGGCGATCTTTATTTCTTATTCTTCGATCGCCTTTAGAGTCTTGACAGCGATTTTCAAGATGTCTACTTATAGACTTTCTATCAATTTCAGATGAATGTTTCTTGGTGTTATCAACATCTCCAGATTCATTACAATCTTGATCCTTTCGATTTCTATGACTCATAGAAGAACTACTTTTACTAGTAGATAGATCAGGCAACAATGTTTCTTGTTTTTTTTTGGATTCACTATTGTCATTATCTTTGTAACTTTCATAACTTTTATCCGGCTTTGTAAATAAATTATCAATATTTTTTTTAAATTCGTTTAATTTTAAATTACTTTTAATTCTAAATTCTACTTTCTTTATTTCATCATATTTTGAGTTATATTCAGCTTTCATTCTGTGATTATCCTCATGATATTTTTTATTGTCTTCTTCACTAAATGTATTTTCTCTGAAATTCTTCGCAATTTTTCTTAAAAAAAAATATATATATACATTTATTTTATATATTACAAAATATTAAGGATGATAAATAGCTTTTCTAAAATTTAATCATTATTTTTCATATTTTTAAAATTAGATTGAAGCAAAATAATAATTTTAAATAACTTATAACAATACTAATTTTTAGCAATTAAGTATTGAAAGAAGTTAAAAACAAAATATTTTTATAAGTATTATGGTTCATATGTCAAAATAAGAAATGTTTACTTGGTTTCTTTAATAGGTTTATCATCAAATGGTTTTTTATTGATTACATTGCTTTTTAAAATTGGTTTATGTTTAATTGAAACATCCCGATCTTCCTTTTTAGGTCGTCGAATGTCTTCTTTTTCTCTTTTTCTGAATACTTTTTTATGACGTTCATTATGGGTAATTTTGATTTTTTGTCTATCATTTTGCTTAGATAAATACTCTAATAAAGGTGTACTTGATTCTTGTTCGTGAGATTTATCTTATAAATAATATATAATAAGATTAAAATCATTACATATGAGCATAATATATAATACATAAGTTATATAAAAAAATATAAATTACCTTCAACAGATTCAAAAAAATGTTGTGTAGTTTTGAGAGTAGTATCAATTGATTTTTGTTCAAAATTTTGTTTGAACTCTAAAAATATTGGATTGTCATGTATTTTACCCCAGTTAGGATCTTTATCCAATTTTTTTTTAGGGACTCTTTGATATGGAGCTAATTCAACTGTAGCTGGATACTCATCACCTATTAAAAATAAACTATTTTAAATTTCTATTACAAAATAACTGGATCGATTTCATTAAATTTTCAATATTAATTCAAAAATAATTTTAAATGCATTTTAAGATGTAATGTTAAATTAATATAAGAAATAAATTTTTTTTATTTTAATATTAAGAAAATAAAGTAATTTAAAATTTAAATTATGAAAGTTAAGTACAATAGGTTTCCAGTGTAATGTAGTTAAGGTATTTTTTTAGAATTGTTTTGATTGATATCTGGTAGTAATTAAAATGGCAGTCATAAAACACTTCAATGTTTATTTGAAACAAATATAAAAAAAAATAAAAAATTTATGTTTAAAGCATAATAACCAGTATCATCAACAAACACATATCCATCAAATTTCTCTGTAAACATGTACATATCTTCATCTTTTAAAAAGTTAATATAAACTCTTGAATGATGAAATGGAGCAGATTGTGAATCCCCAGGAACAAAATACATATAATTATTCTCAGGTAGAGGAGAAATTTCATTTAAAAATCGTTCCTCTGTCATTGATGGAGGCAACCTTCGAACAATCACCTAATCATTTAAAATTTATTTATGTAAATATTAAGATCATTTTTTTTTAAATATAGATAAAAAAACTTAAATAAATTAATAAAATACTAATAATATTAAATTGGTACAATACTATTGCGAAAATATTCAACAGTAATCAATTTTAATTCAAAGCATAGTGAATTTTACTGTCTTCTTGGATGTTTCAGATAAAAATGAAATTTTTTCTGAATTCTCAACCACTTTAATTCATAAAAATTAGTTTTTTAAATTATTCAATAACTTACTTTTCTTTCAGGACATTTGCGATCATCTTTCGACTTAAGTCTGTCTAAAGATTTAAATAATGATTGCAAAAATTCATCTCCTTTTTCAGATCCTTTCATTATTGCTTAGCTGTTTACAATAAATTTACCAAAAACAATAAAAATGTATTACTTAAAAAAACTAAAAAAACATGAAAACTATTGAGCTAGAGTTATCATACACGTCTATATTTTTAACTTATCGAGAACATGTATTATTAATATTAAATTACAAATGTTTTTTTCTACACAAAAGTTACAAATTAATCAGAGTTTATGGCTTAATAGTTAAATGCAACGTAAATTATTAACTCAATTTTCATTAATTGAGATAGTGTTATCATTATTAACAACTCCACAACGGGTTGCTATCGTTGCTACAATAAGTTAGCAACATAATACCACCGAACCACCAGATTTTGACATCTTAATAACTTTTGATCCAGCGAATATTTTACATTACTTTTTTTAATTTTTACAGTTTCGAATTGTTTTAAAAGCATATTTATCATTATTTGTCTAAAATAAAAATAATAACTTTTTATCCTTAATGAGAATCTGAGAAGGTATTAATTGTATTATGCATTTTTTTTATGTCCGTTGCTACTTTTGCTCAGTTCTCACCGAACCGATTTCTTTCAATGATACGTCAAAAGATCACAAATCGTATCTAGTCGAAGACATTACCCTTAAAAATTGAAAAAATTTCCCTCATATCCTGTAAATGGGGGAAATCCATAAAAAAATTACGAGTTTTAAAATAGTTATTTTTTTTTTTAAACTGCCATATTTTTTTTAAAAATAAACAAATTAAAATAAATATTTTTTATATTGAAAACTTAGGTATTTTCTTTTCATTTTATGTAATTTTTTAACACGCTTATATTAGTTTCACTTATATGTATGTTCATATAATTTATCTTCATTATTCTAAAGACAATTAGACAAATATTTTATCACTGTGATAGTTTTTTCAACTACCACCATTTACTTAATTTTGGATTGTACATATATAACACATGTTAACAAAATTTGGCTCATGGAATATTTATTAAAGTTTTCTTATTGTGATCGGTGTTTCGAAGCTGAAACCTGTAATATAGGTCATTATTTTGTAAAACTGAAAGTAAAACATTTTTTTAATGTTTGATTTAATTGTAATTTCTTGATCTATTGTTACTAAATATAATATAGTCTTTTATTTGTAAAGCTAGAAGTAAAATATTTTTAGTAATGTTTGGATTAATTGTAATTCCCTGAATTATTGTTACTAGACCAGGAAGTAATTATTTATAAACATTTTTGAAAATGATTGTATAATGAATTTTGTAAAAAAAAGAAAAAAAATATTTTAGTATTTAAGACGAAATGGAATGAATAGAAGAGAAGAGAAGACTTCGGGAGTACCTAAGGTAATCTCTTTTCTCGTGGTACGTTTATGACATTAAGTTTTCGTTTTGTGTATTGTTTTATTGTGTTTTAAGTGTATCTTTATTTTGTATGTTTTACATTGTTTGATTATATCTTTAATAATTACATTTGCGTTATTATTGAACTTTTATTACTTTAAGTTAAGACATTAGGGTTGTTTCTTTTAAGATACAACAAACCTAATATGTTACTAGTTTTACTTTATTATCAATATTTTACCTACATCTTGAACAGCGGCATATTTTAAGGGCGCGGAAATATTGAAAGCCAACTAATTTTAAAAAAGTGAGTTATTTTTTTATTGTTGTTAAATAATTGTTTATTGTTGACTTCCTAATAATTATTATGAGCGATTTCATTTATTATGTATTTATGATATGTATATCAATAGCTACAAGCAATTTATTTTATGATTTATCAATAAACATAGATTTGCTTGAAAAATATTTTTAAATACCTTTCTTTTTTTTGAGGAAGAGTTAGTAGTGTTATGGCGAAAATATATAAAAATGAACCCCCTCCGCCATAACATAATGAAGGACGGCAAATTTTTAAATGCCTATAAGCGGAAAAAATGTGAGTACACCTCTGATCTTGAGTGTTTATAAAATTATTGTTTTTATACACAAAATTTGACAAAAAATATAAAAAAGAAGGTTTTTTTTAATATCCTTTGATTGTATTGATTAATAATATATCAATGATGATTTCTGCAAAAAATGTCTTTATTCCATCAAGTTTTACGTGTGGTATAGTTTTTTAAAATCGAATCACAGTCTCTATGATAATTATATATTTTCATTAAGGTTGACTTTTACGGTAGTTTTAAAATAGATAAATATGAACTTTTTTTTATTTAAGTTTATGTTTTTATTATAAATTACGTTGATAGACTTATAACTGTACATTTCAAATAGTGCTAAGTAATAATAAGCACATTAATCAAATAGCAATTTAACATTATATCAATAGTCATAACAGAATAGTAATGTATATAGATCCCATTGGTGAGATAACATATTATGATTGTCCTATTTTTGGAACCCCTAACAGCTAATTTTGTTTCTGTTATCTTGATATTATTATGTCTAGTATTTTTATCTATGACTACCGTTTGTTTAGAAAATCGAACCATACATAGTAACATACCAACGCCTTTATTTTGATTTTTTAACTTAGATTTACGTTATGAGTAAATAAAAGTTGGTGTATTAATAATATTCTTATTTAAATTTGTAATTTTTTTTCTATAATTTTAACGTGTAAGTTATTTTTTAATGATCATTAGTTTAATGTATTTAATTTTTTGATATACATTTTTTTTTTGGAAGTTATATTAATTAGAATATTGACTCATACGTATATAAAGAAATAATATATTATTTCCTTCTCAAAATAATGTTTAAAGTGTTTTTGGGTGAATAAATAAATATTAATCATGTATCTGTTCTTTATTTCAGACTTCATTATGGTACTAGATCAAAAAGTTCTTGATAAATATTTGTACTCAATAAATCCTATTGCTAAGAGGATTGGTAAGGATGTGGAAGCCACAAAAGAAGCATATCAAACATTTTGGGATGGATTAAGTTATGAAGAACAAAGTAAAATCCTTGAGGAATCAATTATTAGTCCAGAAACTGCTTTAAAGTATTCCAAGTATCAAAAACTTAAAGTAAGTAATCTAATATAATTTCCATATTTTTTTAGCTGCAAGTAAGGTATATTACAAATATTTATATTGTAAATATCGTTGATAGACATATGACTGTACATTTCAAATAATGCTAAGTTATATTGAGAACATTAATTAAACAGCAATTTTATATTATATCAATAGTCATAACAGAATAGTATTCTATAGACCCCTAAGGTAAGATAACATATTATGATCATGCTATTTTTGGAATCTCTAACAGATAATTTGTTTCTGTTATCTTGATACAATTATTATTTTTTAATAATTCTCTTTAAATAATAATATTAAAAAAAATGTTTGGGTTGTTGAATAGTGTGTTTATTTTTTATTTATAAGGTGTTGAATATTTTTTTGTCTAACTCTTACCCTTTATATAGGTATCAATTTTAATTTTTTTAATTATGGCATACTCGTACATATTTCAATAGATTTTTATATTTGAAAATGACTGGTTGATAACATTTTTTTAAATTCTGAAAATCTTTATACCTGGGTGGGAGAAGGAGTGCGACTGAGTATTGGGTGATGATAAAAATAACATACTATATAATAACTTAAAAATTTGAAGTCAAATAAGTGAGATAAAAATTTAATAAATTTTTTACAATTGATAGATATTTTAATACTTAAAATACGTTTTGTTTTACAAATACATAATATTGTTACTATTTTTACTATACAATATTTAATATTGTAAATATCTTGAGATAGCATAAAAATATTACTAAGGAGATATTATGGAGAGGTTAGTTGAATTATCTACTTATTATTTGCTGAAGATAAATCTAAAAGTGTCTTATTATCATTTTAATTGAAATAATGTTTGATTGACAAAGTATTAATGTATGAATGTAAAAAGTATTAATCGTAGCCAGTGTGTACAAAATATCATTCATTGCTTATAATGATTATTCTTTATAGAAAATGAATAACAATTTTCCTATTATATATTTTTATATATTTTCATATAATCAAAAGTGTAAAACTTTTTTACGCTATTGATATGATATTATCAAAAGATAAATTATAAATCTCTTAATATATTTTATACAACCATTTTATATAATTATGAAAATTTTAAGAGAATAAAATTTGTGGTCGTGGTAAAAAATTAAAAGATTATTATTAAAAAATTCCATGATTAAACAAGTAGGAACAAAGTAACTAACATTTTAAATTTTAAATTTATTTTTTTAAATAATTTAATTATGATTCCCTGTATTTTATCAATTGTGTTAATTTATAAAAATGTAATTAAACTATATTTTTTTAAGTTGAGCATTAGATAAAAGTTCTACTTACAACTCTTATAACTTTCAGACAGGTCAAAAATATAGCCATTATCTTACTTTTTGAACACTTTGTATAAAAATGCAATGATTAAGTACAATATTCATTACATTAAACTTTATAATAAAAATTTTATTTTATTAGGAAAATAAATCAGATGGAAATTTTTCTTGGTTTACTCGTAGTCAGTTAGATTTATGCAAGCATGTTAATAGTGTGAAAGAACATTTTTTTGCCAATGAATGTAAAAACATTATTGTAAAACGAGCAGAAAAAGAACAGCAAGATAATAAATTAATTAATAAAATCAAATCAAATGTACTATTTAAATCACTTGTAGCATCTGAAGAAAAAATAAAACCTATCAAAACAGATAGAACAAAACCCAAAGGACCTCCTCCACCACCACCACTTCCATCAAATACAAATGGAGAAAATGCACCTATCATACCATCATATGATCATAATGATGATGATGATGAAAATATACCAAAAACAGGATTTGATTTTCTTGATAATTGGTAAATGTATTTATTTTTAAACAGATTAATAGAGGTTGTATCAATCTAAGAAAACTATTATTAATTGAAAATACTATATCATAGATTTTTTCATTTATTAAATAAAAATATTAACAAATACATTTTTGTTCACTAGCTTGAGTTTAAATGTAAAATTATTTTAATTAGAAAATGTATTCTTATATATGCTGTAAATATACTATATTCTTTACTTATTAATCTGTATTTTTAATTTTTAATCATTCAAAAATAAAATACAATATTTAAAATTAATCAACTAAAATTTATAAGTAATAACTTTTATAATGAGTAGAATTATTTTGTCATATCAAAATTAATTTTTTGAAGTTCAAATAATGAACTAGGTTGAACTTATACTTTTATTTTTTTGGTTAGTAGATAAATAAACGGTTCTTCAATTAAACTTCTTTAAGCTTAATTTTCTGGAGTAATAATTTTAATTTGATGATATAGTTTCAATAATGTATTATTAAACGGTATTATACCTTATTGATTCCTAATATCCTTCAGAATATTAACTTATAAAGAACAAGAATCCTTCATTCATATGACATATTCAACTGTAACTCTTGAACCATTACAAGTAATTATACAAATACCATTTCTAAAACTTCTTCATTAGCAATTCTATTATTCCAATTTAACTTTTCCTTTTTTCTATATCATCACATTTCAAATGCCTCTATTAATCTCATGCACTTGTCCATTTTTCACACGCATAGTATAATACTACATATGTACATTTTTAGTAAATTAATAAAGGTTAAAATCATATTTTTTTAATTATAATACTTCTTTTTTTATTAAATGTAAACTTAGCTTGGCATATTAACTTAATTATTTTTTTTTTTGTATCTTCCATCTGAGCTTATAGTGCTGCCCAAGTAAAAAAAATCCTCTACTTATTTTCTAGTTTTATCATACTTTAATAAAATTGTCTACTGTTATTTTTTCTACTATAGACTTTCATCTTCTTTGGGTTCATTTTCATATTTAAATTCTTTTCAACCACATGTTCTATTGTTACTAAAATCTTTTTCATTATCTGCTATTATTGCTATACCGGCAGTGAATCATTGTACTCATATTAATATATTAAATGCTCTATATCCATTTATCTGTATTTCTAGATGTTTTCTGTTTCTTATGGTATCTATATTCTTTGAATGTATGCATTAAATATTTAAGTTGATAATGTACATTTCTGTTTTCTTAATTTTTTTTTTATTTTTGTTATTTCTATTTTATTTTTATAAAATTGATAAAGCAGTTTTCTTTTTACAACTGCAACTCTAGCTCATCTCAGCATTTTCAATATTAAAAAAAATAAAGAAAACAGGAATGAAGATTATCATTATTTTAAAATATTTAGTGCAAACATTTAAGATCATAAATATAATAAGAGACAGGAGACATATAGAAATACAGATTAATGGTAATAGAGTATTTAATATAATATTAATACAAATAGTTTCACTGCTGACATAGTAATAGTAGTGTATAATGAAAAAGATCTAAAAAAGATTTTAGTAACATTAGATAATTAATTATGCTTATATTTTAGGTCAAATAGTATATATCATTAATTTTTGTTTGTTTAAGCATCTAGAGCAACATTTAAATTTTTTATGAGTATATCATATATTATAATTAAAACATAATATCAGAAATAAAGTTTTTACAGATGTCATATTTTACCTATACAGAAAATATATGAGTATTTTATGAGTTAGTGAGTAACAAAAGTAAAAATTTGAAAGGCTAACACTTTGATAAGACTGAATATTAAGGACTTATTTTTTACAATATTCTAAGCTATTAGAGTTTAATCTATATACTTATAATTTTAAGAGCCTATCTTAAGTAAAAACTGAGATGTGGGCTCGAAAAACTGGGTGAATAGTTTCATGTAATGATACACTTACGTTGCTAGAACTTGGCCCTGCGACCAGATATAACGTTTTAATTATTATATATATAAAAGTCGTATTTCTAAAACATTTTCAAAAGTATAAAATTTTACATACATTTCTCAGAAGTTATAGCATTTAAAGTTGAAAATATAAAATTGAGAATTTTAACGCAAAAAAGAATGTTTTTTTTTTTACGTCGACCATTTGTGCACATAGAAAATAAGGTATCGGGAATATTTTTTTTTACTTATAGTATATAACATAAGCTTTAATATAAGTATATACCTGTAAATTTATAAAAAAAATTAGAAAATTAATTTTACACCCACCCTAAATTTTTTTTGTATACATTTTTTAATTTGTGGAAGGTAATACATCAACTTTTGAATGCTAAGCGCTCCTTTTAATGTCTATTAATATAATATATCTTTAAAGAATGCAATATTTCCAGAACATTTTCAAAAGTTAAATTGAAAAGGTTCACTTTTGATGCAAAATTTTATATTATGAATTCCTCCAAGTGGGTTGGTATAGAGTCAAAGATTTTAAAAATCGTAATTATCTGGGGTTTCCCAATTTAACAAAGGATATTTTATCAAAATTTAAGGGTAATATCTTTAACTAGATACAATTTCCTACCTTTTTATGTGTTGTTAAATAAAAACAGTATGATGAAAGATGAGAAAAATTGGTAATAGACACAAACAAATAAAAAGTAAAATTAACAGGTTGTCAGAAATCGGTATTTTTAAATTACATATAAATAAATTAAAATACCTAAGGCATCAGATTTTATTAAAAAATTCAGAATCATTAGCATAGTTTGATCTTGTGATGGTGCTACTAACAATGCTATTAACAAGATACAGGTTCCAACTTAGGAATATTACCATGATTTGAAAAGAAATTTTATATAGCTACTCAAATGATTTTGGTAACTTTGTTTAATCTTTTCAAATGTAAAATATAATATTAAAATATAATAAAAAAAATTAATCCAGATAAAACAAACAAAAGGTTGATAATGAAGATTTTAAAATATATACATATATTGAATAATTTTTTACAAATTGTATCATACTTATTTGCTCAGTTTGAAATCACTTAATTATTTGATTTATTTAAAATTAAATTAATATATTATACAATAATAATAAATTACATTAGCATTTTTGAATTTATTTTGTTAACTTGATAATTAATAATAAATTATACTAACATGAGAAAACATAGTTACCAAAAGTATCTATTTTGATTTGTTGAAAGTTATTTTTACCTTTTAATAACTAGTATAATAATTATTAAGTACTAAGTTTGAAAAATAAATAATAGAGGTAATATCAAAAATAAATTACAATACAGCAATTTTACAAGAGTGTTCAATTAAAGATAAACTACAACCATAGTAAAATATGGTTTAATTTCTTAAATGTTTATGCAAATAATAAAGTGCGTTAATATATTTTGAGTTTATGTTTAACGAACTATAATACCAAATGACATTCCTAAAGCTAATCCAACAACATAGGATGCCAGAAACACATGAATTTCTTGAAAAATAAATTCATCCTCATCACCAGAAAAACGATTAAACCAACGTTTGGCTTTTTGTTCTTTCTTCCTTAAAATGTCTTCAGCTTTGTCAAGTTTCTTATCAACATAGCGACCAACCTGAAATTTGTTTATACTCGGGTCATGATTTTTTCTGTTTTGTAACATAACTGAAGGAACAAGAAACACAATTGTAAGAGTAACTAAGTGTATTTAAATAATAAATCAAATGTACAACCTTAAATTGTTTAAATTTTTTTCTAAAATTATCTTTACAAAAGTTTAACTTGTAATTTATTTTCAAAGGTTAAAACAAAAAATGTTTATTTATAAGAAATTATTTGTCCAAAAACTTTTTATGAATATGCAACACCAAGGAAGAAACCACCCGTAAATCCAGCAGCCACAATGGAGTTGTTTTCAACAATGTTTTTAACCTAGAAGATAATAGGAATTTTGAAAATGTATTCAAAACTAGAAATTCCTATATTATAGTAAACTAATAATATATATAATTGACAGATAAGATCCATTATAAATTTTCTGGGGGAAAAATACAAACTATAGATAAACATAAAAATAGAAATAGTTACTTTGTTCAATAATCCTTTCTTTTTATCCACTGTACTATCCTCTACTTTTTCTGCGATTTTTTCGACACCTCTAGTTAGTTTATCCCAATTGATTTTAATATATCCAGTTGAATTAGCAACTTGCAATGCTATAATGCCACTACCCAAAGTAAAAGCAGCAGCTTTTCCTAACTTCATCATGACAAACCCAGTTAACCTAAACAAAAAGCCTGTAAACATAGGCTTTGGAAGGATATAAGTTTTAATATAAAGTACCATCCAGATGCTGAGCCAAATATAAGCTGTCTTGCAGCAGATTTCTGTCCAACATCTCTAATTATCTTCTCAAGTAATGTTTTAGCTTCTTCAGCTGTTTTTTCTAAATCAAAATCATTTGACGTTCCTGGTTCATCTTGATTGTTTGAAATTGATGGAGTCATTTTTACAAATATTAATCGGTTAAAATCTTAAAATAGTAAGATATATGATAGAATGATTAATAAATCGTGTAAGTAACGGCCAAAACTCACTTTAGGTGAATAACAGGAATACATCGATTGATGCGAGTGCGTAGATAATATGAAAAAGGAAGACAATTTAATTTACACAACAATGACTGTCAGGTTTGCCAAATAAAAAATAAAAACTATGATATAATTTGTATTTGTTATAGTAATCTTACAGAATAGATAAAGCTTTATCTAATCTGTGGTAATGTTGCAAATGTTGATATTTTATTTGTTTTTACAATCTAATAATCGGCACAAATTGTTTGAAATTTTAATTTTTACATATTCTACTTCGAGGGTTATCGTTCACTAATTACTTTAATAGAAAAAAATATTTTCAATGAAAAAGATATTTGAATACGTCGTAAAAACTGTTTTTTAAAAGGACATTTTATTTTAATTTAGTTACTATTTCAAAATTATATATGACTTTTATCAATGTGTCGTAAATCAACTAAGATAAACTAATACTACGAAAATCACAATAGTGATATACTACAGATTTCAGCAATTTTAAGAGACTTTATATTTATTAGACTTTATTACTTAAAAATTAGTGAGCTACTTCATAATGTCAACTATACATTTAAAGCTGCGAAGCAATTCTATTGCAAGTTTTTTATAAATCATTAGTATTTAACAAAAAAATAGTGCTCTCTTAAATATCTTTGTTCTCAAGAAAAAAACTTAATAGATTTAAATAACTTTTGAAGAAAGTAATTCAAATATATTTACAAATTACAGGGAGAATAATATATATTTATTTTGTTAACAAAATATATACTTTAATAACTCAATTTAATTGGTTTCAGATTAGTATTTTAAAATGAATTACAGAATTATATTAGTTGGACCAAAATGTACCATTAAAAACGAGTTACTATTTTTTATTAATAAATAAAAATGAAAAATTGTAATAAGTTCCTTTTCCACAGAAGAGTTATAAAAATACCACATTTTTAAGTCATATGAATATTATTTTTACTTGTATAAATAGTTTTGGACACATAAATTATGAAGAATTCACATAATACATTTCATATTAGTTATTTGTTAAAATGTATAATTAATAAATTTCTTTAAAAAAATATTATAAAATAAAAATTACAGATTTTTTTTTATAACAACATTTTTAGTTAAATATTCATATTAACTATTCTTGATATAATTATATATATATATATATATATATATAAAAGGTACACAACAAAAAAAAAAAGAAAAACTAACAATTTGTATAACATAACATAATACAAGTAAAAATCAACTCATTTTTTTAACTAAACAAATAAAATCTAAAAAAGTTTAAAGCAATTTTATATATATATTTTTTACAATATTTGAAAATAAGTTAAAATATAAATGGCAATTAAATATCAAGATTGTTGGACATAAATAAACATAGGTACACATTGTCAAAATTCTATATATAATTATAATTTTGTTAATAGATGGCAAAAATATATAGTAATGAATACATAATTAATGTTCCATGACTCTAAATACTAATTCTAAAACAACTGATGACTGTTGAGCTTTAATAGCAATAGCATTAACAACTGGAACAAGATGTTCATCTAGACTCTGCATGTATAATGGTGGAAGTTTATTCTGTCCACTACCTGCTTCATATCCAACCTATTAAATTTATGTATTAGAAAACAACTTCAATGAGTTTAATGATATTAAATTGAAACTTACTGAATCAAGACTTATCATTATACGTAAAGCAAGGGGAGTGAGTGATGCTGCAGATAATAAGTCTAAAAGAGGAACTAAAGCAGTACAGGTGGCCTTAGCTATAGATTCAGCTGTTCTGCTTGTATCTAATGGTTCTTCTACACGATCAGATGTTTCTTCACACTAAAAAATTATTTTATCATTAATATTATTTTTTTTATTTTAGTAAATGTAATGCTAAAATAACAAATTTAAAATAAAAAATATATACTCTAAAAGCCACACTAATAAATCAAGTACACTTATTTCATCAATAATATTATTATCAATGCTAAACACATACTAACATGATATCTTTAGTATTTTTTAGTTTTAAAATAAATGTCAAATATATTTTTAATTTAAAATAATATTAGTCCTAATTGATCAATTCTTATTATAAAATAACAAAATTTCATTTTGACACCTGTTAATTTTTTATAAAAGATTGGCCTAATTTATAATTAGGAAATTTAAGTTCATCAGATTTTCGTGACCATCTATATTAGAAAACTTATAGAAAATGAATTAGTTCACTTTATAATACTTCCATTATGCTCTCAATATAGTTTTAAAGATAACCCATCAAAATGTTGGTAAATAAATAGCATTTATTACAAAATTTTAAGTATTATAATTTTAAAAATTAGATGTTCTAAAATAATATATTATGGAGAATGTCATATAAAAATAATTTATGAATACTATTATATTTAATATTTAATATTTCTAATGTTCAAATTCTGATAAGTCATTATTATCATATCCTTAGTCTTTACTCCAACTATTTGAGAATGGTTCTACCAAAAATTGATTTTATAGTATTTTAGCTACGATGCAAAGCTGAGAGGGTATTAATTTTAAAAAGATATTAATTTTACTGAGTTAATTTTTTTTTGTCTGTTGCCACTTTTTCTCAGCTCTCACTGGATGATTTCTTTAAATAATATGTCAAAATATCACAAATAATATCTATTTGAAGACATTAACCTAGAAAAATTGAAAAAATTTCCCCCGGTCCCTGCAGTGGCACAAATTCATCAAAAATTACAATTTATAAAATATGTAAATTTTGTCATTTTTTTCACTTTTTATTTTTTAAACTGCTATAATTTTTTTAAAATTGAACGAATAAATCTAACTTTTTTTTTTTTTATTGACACCTTAAGTAAATCTCTTTTATTTGATATAATATTTTTGAAAATCTGACCTTAACCTGCCCACAAGAGGGGATTAAAAATAGCAACTTTTTTACAAAACTCAACTTTTAAAAATGTCAAATTAAAGCATATGTTACTATATGCTATAAATTAATAAAAGAATTTGTCTTGACAACTTATCTTCTATGTGCAAATGGCTGCAGTAGTTAAAAAAACATGCTATTTTTGTGTTCAAATTTTTTTTTGTTTTTTATTTTAAAATACCTTATAAGAGTTTGCAATAGTAGTGAGTCCACTAATAAAAATAAAATTTACATGAATCTAACTTATATTAATTATAAATTTATAATTATTTTGATTATTTTGCCTCTTCAAAGTTAAGAAAAGTTTTTTTGAAAACTTAAAAATTTGTATAAAAAGTAGAACTTTTTCAACTTAACTTATGAAAATGTTTGGGAGTACTGTGTCTTTTAAATATATGTTAAAATAAAGTTTATTGTATGTACTAGAAGTTCAAAAAAAAAAATTTGTACCAACGACCTATTTTCTATGTGCAAATGGTAGTCGAAGTAGAACAAAAAATAGGAGTTAATTTTGCTATTGGAATAGTCCACAAATTTTTTAAAATTAAACACTATCTAAAAATTTGCATAGTAGCGTTTCTTATGATAGTGATTTTAATCAGTCAGATATCATCTATACTTGCCCCTAATATGTCATGTCCATACTGTGCTACAGACACCACTGTGCAACCGTTTTTTTTTTTTAAGTTGCCGATCTGACACAATTTTATATTATCTAAGGAGCAAGATGTGTATCACTGTTAAAGTTTTTGTATGGTCACACACCCAGGAACCAACAGCAGAGGATGCTAACTAAGACATAGACTGAATAATCAATCCATTGTGCTATAACACGCCCAATTTTGATAGTTAAAAGTAAACTCTTAAAATGTTGTAATATAAATGTATTAATTTTAATTTTAAATTATGTTTATTCCATAAATATTAAAACCAAATAATTAATTTTCTATAAAAGATGTATCATTACATATTCATCTTACAAGCTTACTTGTATCACAAAAACTTCAGTCCACCTTATAAAACGACTTTTTCCTGAGTAATCAACTCCATTATGAACTCGTATAGAGTAAATACCATCTAATGGCTTACCATCAATACAACTTCTTACACTTTGAATTGAAAAAAAAATTTAGCATTATTATAAACTTGTACTTCAATATTATAATGATTCTTTTTACCCTATGTTAAAATTCACATCATCTTCAGTCCAATGAAATATGACAGTTTGTTCATCATTAGTTCCACAATTAACTTTAAAATCTTTCATTGAATGTAAAGCTTCACGTAAAAGATTCATTCTTTGTGTTGACATTTCAACCATTACTCCATCTTCAACTATACGCCATCTTGTACCAGCATCATCTTTTAAATCTCCATTTAAAGCAATAAAACTTGCACCTGTGACTAAAAAAAAAAAATAATTTTAGATAAAAGTTTATTACACAAATTTCAAATTGTATACTTTGTCTTGGTTTGTTGTGGATATTTATTGCCTGTGTATTATAGTTTCCATCATCTTTAGTTGATTGCACACATACAAGATGAGAATCAGCAACTGCACTAAAATTAGCACCAAAAGCTAGAAGTCCACGATTAGATGATAAAACTAATCTTGTAACCTGGAATATTAAGTAATTTTATAAATTATTAATAAAACAAATTAAATTAAATAATTTTAAATTAAACATTTAAATAATTATATACACAATTTGTATTAATTTTTATGCTATAAACTGTTTATTGTTTACTTTAGTTGAGAACATAATTAGAAAAATTATCATTAAAACTAAAGGGGATGATAACATAAATTCATAAAAAATTACTTTATTTGAAACTTGAGTATTGGATAAGGAAAAAAATAGTAATTATTATAATATATATTAGAATAAGAAGAACACACTTTTCTGGTAAAATTTAAGGGTGCTCTGATTTTTAAAATATTTTTTACAACAAAAGTACTCAATCATGAGATTCCAGGAAAATTATTAGCGAATGTCGAAAAATTTTTTACAGTCGCCCGCAAATGGTTTGTAGGACCTCAGCTAAGCTAAGCCTAGTAGTAAATATTATGCTTTCAGAAATATAATGTATATTTTTAAAAGTCCTTCATATTTTCTTTGTAGATAAAATATTTTTTGTACTTATTAAACAAATAATAATAATACTACCATACTTGATCATATCTATTTCGAGGTAATAAGACCATAATTTGTTTTTCATCCATATGTATATAGCAGCCTTTGACAGTTGGTAAACCATATGAGTATTGTCTGAAATCCTAAAACAATAAATAAGTTAACAAGGGTAATTAAATCTAATTTTTTTCTTAAAATAATTTGGAATATTACAAAAATATCTTACAACTAAAAGTTTAATAACAGTTTGACCAATTTCTGTGTACAAAGATGGTCGATTTCTAATTGAAACTAGCATACAAGGGTAGTAACGATATTCTGCTCCAAGTCTTAACATTAAACGTATTGGAAACATTTTAGCCCATGGAGTTTCATATCTAAAATAAGTTTAGTAAGAAAATTTTGCTTTATTTTATTAGCTTCACCTTAGAAGTAATATGCTTTTGTTAAACTAATATTTTGAAAATAAAATTAACTCACTGATGTACAAGTAATGCAAACAAATATGGAGGAGAAGGTAATCTTAATTTTTGCATACACTGATATGTTTGTCTAATAAATAAGAAACCACCATGATTATTTGAATCTAACAATGTAGAATTGATTGGGGTAGTAAATGACATATCACTAACTGTTACACCTAAATAAAAATATAATTATTTGACAAGTTACTAGCAGCACTAAATATAAATTGATAACAACCAATGGAGGCATTTTTATACACATTATTTATGAACAAAAATATATCACGGGGCGGGTGTTTTTCATTGGGTAAAGTTTCTAATAAAATAACTATTTCATCTTGACCAACACATGAAAGACCTTCAGTACTTATACACCATGTTTCACGTTTTACACAACAGTCCACTGTAAAATATAATAATTGAATAAATAATTTTTAATAAATATTATTATTAATTTTTATTAAGAAGGAGTATACGCGTACCGTCAATCGTGGATAAGATGAAAGAGAAATCGGAAGCTGTAAGAACAGTTATAGAAATTAATGTTGAAAAAAAAAAAGAGGTACAGGAATATCAAAAATGAGATAGAGGGATGTTATTGAATATGATATGAGGACGACTGATGTGAGCATAGATAATGTGGGAGATTGTGTCAAGTGGAAATTTAGGATAAGGGTGGTTGACGTCAAGTAGTTGAGATTAAGGCGAGGAAAAAAAAGAATTTTTATTAAAATTAATTTTAAGGTGAATAACTTACAAAAAACTCTCCTAACGTAAAGAAATAAATTGGGATTTATGGCAAACATAGTTTCAGGATCATTTAGAGCTATTGGACGTTCAGTGTCATCAAATTTTAATTCTCCTTGAGTCCTTATTGCTGCAGGAGGTAAGCCAATATTAGGTATATAACTTTGTGTTTGTGAATTCAATGGACGCTTATTAGCTGGAATTACAACATCTACAATAACAACATTTTTTTTTTAATTTTTAAATAACTATTTTATTTATTTAATTAATTTTTTTATTATATATAACAATAAACTTACTATTAATAGTAGGACTCAATTTTTTTAAAGACCTTGATGACCTTCTAATTGGGAGAATTCTTTCAGATGATCCATCTAAATCAGCTAGATCACCTCCAGGTCTAATACCATCACTAAACATTACTTGTTTAGGAACATCTGACTTTGCTCGTCCTAGTAACAAAAAGTTATAAATATTCATTTTATTTTTAAAATATTTTTCTTATAGAAATTTTAAAAATAAAATAAAAATTATTTTGTACTTTGGATATTAAAATAGTTTCATATTGTATATTTTATAATTAATAAATATACATTTACCTTCTCGTTTAAGAACACTAACAGGAACCAAAACAGATGGTAAAGGCTGATTTCGTGAATCTCCCACTTGTTGCAATGGCGGAACAGTAGAACAGTATTCCATTGGATTGTTAGGATTAGGATGTTTGATTGTAGATATTTGTTGTTTCATTTGAGCTACTAAAATATTTAACATATTTTTTTATAATCATAATAATAAGTAAAAAAATTAATCATTGTGAAATTTAACAACTCACCTTTTTCTAAAGTGTTAAAACATTGTTGACATACACGCACTTCATTATTCATATAAGTTAAGTATGCTCGTAAATTACAACATTTTGAACATAACACCTTAAAAATGATAGTAAATTTATTACAAATATTTAAAATCATATTTTCTTACTTCTCCACAAGCTCTACAATGATGTCTTCGCTTAACAACAGTGAATTTTAGATCACATCTCATACAACTTTTTGCAGCTTCATCAGGTATCCAATAGGGTTGAATTTTACCAAGTTGTCTTTCTGACAATGACAAAGCACAGTCAGAATCTAAAATATACAGTAAAAATGTAAAAATATACTAGTAGGTGGCCTATTTATTTCATCGGTAAAGTATTGTGCCTTAATAAGTAGGTACCTAAGTTTAATTTCATAATACTGGGATAAGTGGGTTTTCCTTGTTCTCTCTTGTATTAGAAATAGATTTTAAGAGAGGACGTTAAATATAAATAAATAAAGATATTGATTAAAAATATTTTTTACACACCTGTACTTAATGTTGATGAAAATTCAGAATCATTAGTGATTGATCTATTTAAATCTAGAGTACATGGTCTTTGTAATTGAATATCATTTATATTTAACGTTTCTATGTTATCTCCAATCATTTCTGATGGTAATGAACATGTACTTTGAGAATCTAAAGAATCAGAAACTGTTGCAACACTAACTTGATTATCATCCTTTAATAGTATTGTTTCAGTGGATTCAATACTACATAATGAATCAGTCAATTCTTTATCAAGCATTTCATCACTTTGTTTATTTTGTGATTCATTCAAAAATTCATTATCATCATTTGTATTCACTGTATCTAAATTATTATCTATTTCAATTGAATTTTCAATAATTTCTTGGTCTGCTATTTCAACTAATGCATTACATTCAGACTTAATGTTTTTTTCAGGAACAATTGGTAACTGTGGAATGATTTTGAGTACTTCAATAAAATGATTTTCTTTTTCAGTAGATTCTGTAGAAATTTCTTCAACAACACTTTCTGTGCACAAATTATAATCTGTTATGCTAGTAGTAGTAGTAGCAAGATAACACTGCATTTTAAGTGGTTCTTCAACTTCATTATAAGGGAATAATGGTTGTTCAATCTCATTTTCAATTTCATAATTAGTTAAAACCATATCATTGGAGATGTCAGGTGATACTGAATCTTTTGATTCTGATACACTTTCATCACTAATAAGAGGCTTTTCAGCAATTAGTTTATCTGTGAATTCAGAACTTAAAGAATTTACATCAGTATAATTACCAAAAGTATTATTTATAGATGATGCATCATCTTGATCTTCATATTCTTCAAGACATTTATAAAGTTCAACATCTGAACATTCTGCATTAGTACTATCTATTTCACAATTATCAGAAGTATTCATAGAATGAAGTTCACTAGATAGAGTACAATCATCTTTCAATGAATCTGGTGATGTTATCAATGCAGGACAAGATTCAACAGTTGGTATTCTTTGAATACCATTAGTTAAATTATTTTTGTCATTTTCGTTACCTAAATCACATGACTCTAATAAATCTGATCGAAATTCTTTCAATGAATGATTAACAGTATTATCATCTAACAATATAATTGTGTCTAATATCATTGGCTCATATGCCTTAGATTCATTGCTAATTACTTCAAAATTAGGGTTGGAATCAATATTTAAAAAAGATGAGCACTGTTCAGGTACACTTATGTCCGATAGTTTATTAACATCAGTTATGAGGGTTGAAGGTTTATCAGACATAGACGAAGGAGAGTCTACACCAAAATTAGCATCAGCTAAATTTATTGGTTCAAATGATGGGCGGCGATAATTAGCTGCAGGTAAATGTTTACTAAGAACAGGAATTGTTGCCTAAGTTTAAAATCGGTAATTAGTAAATGACACTTATGTAAATAAAATTTTTAAAAAAAAACCTGTGTAGTAGATAAAATATCAGTTCGTCCAGTTGGAATAGTAGCTTGAAGTTGTTCTTTTTCTTAAAAAATTTAACAAATAAATAATTAATTACAACATATTATTCTAAATTAATGTTTTATAAGACATTTAGATATACCTTCATTGAATTCAAATTCATCAAGTACTTTATCCAGATCAACAGCAAACTTTTCCATTTTAAATATGTTCTTAGAGAACCATTAAAACTAATAAATTTATCCCATATTTAACATTGATAAAAACTAATAGTGAAGCTAAATAAAAAATATATTAATTTAAATGACTTATTTTTATTACTTTATTAACTATTTTTATTTTTGTACTCATAGAAAAAATTATAAAATAATATGGTTAGAGTGTGTTATAATCTATCTCATAAATATTAATTACTTGAACATTCAGTTTTCATGCGAAAAAAATTTGTTCGAAAATTTCTTAACACAATAAAAGCTTATCACTAATATGCTTTACTACGAATGCATAAAGGGGAGTCATTGATAAGATGCGATGGTACATTTCAACAGATAACAAAACAACATATAAGGAGTTCTCATATTAAGTAATGTATTTATTTAAGGCTATTAGGTAACCTATATGTAAAATGTAGTGACAAAATAAGTGAACTCAATTTTGTTTATATTAAGTTATTAAATATAACAGCGTATATTAGTAAAACATAAAATGTTCTCTAGTAGTAATCTTATTTTACTTTAAACAATATGCTTTTAATTATAGACAAAAAGATAAATTTGTCAAAATTAAAAAATATTGGATAACTTCACAAGTTAAAAAGTTTTCTTTCTATTAATAATAATTTTTTCAACTAAAAACAATCATCTACTTAACTATATTTACGCCCATATTTTAAATAAAATTGTCACGGGATTGTATACATATTTTTATTAGAAAAGAGTTATTTTTATTATTTACAGTTTACGATGAGTATAGCAGCGTTCCATTGTAACTTAACATAAATAATACTTCAGTTTAAATACTTTTTATTTATAGCGCATAATATAATTTCATTACTATTTTTTTAGGTAAAGAAAATGTATTAGAAATCAGTGGCGAATCCAGGTTTTTATGGTTGAGGTGCCCCCTTCAATTAAGTTGGATGAGAAAAATATTTATAGTAACCCTAAAAAATGTTACAACATTTTTTTTTATTTAAACAAAATGAAGGAACAAACCGAGAATGAAAAAACTGAAGTTAAAATAAAAAAAAATCCAAAATAAATAAATATTTTTAAGCAATTTAATGTTTAAATTTTTTTACATATCCATACTTCTCAGAAGGTTAACTGTAGTACATGTCAAAGGGAAATTAATCATTAAACAGCTAATAATGGTCAACAATTTTATATAAAATTAATTTTATAACATTACTAGAGATATTATGAGAGATATTTTTACAAAATAATGTTTTACTTATAATATTGACTTACTATTTTATATTATTTCTGACATACAAATGTTATAGATTAGGATATCTTCAGGTAACAAAAAATACATTGACAGTTCCTATGAATTTCTTAACTTAATAAATTAATTTATAATATTTAATTAATTTATGTACTACGCACGTTATTACTAATATCAATATAGTCAAAAAGAAAATTTTTATGTTGTATAATTTTATAGAATTTTCTTTATTATTTTTAATCTAATTAACTATTATTCTAATAATTTATTTTATTTTTATTTTATATACACAAGCTGTACCAAAAAAGAACTATAAGAGTATTGGCTAAATTAAAATAACATATGAAAAAAAAACTTGACAAAAGAAGCCACCCATTTTAAGTGAATATATATTTATATATATATATATCTCATACACTCTAATAATATTAAAATATTTTTTTGAATAGATTTGATTTTTTTCATCGTTATCATTCATTTTAAGTAAAAGGATTAGCTTATGCAAAATTGTATATTTATACTCATTAAAAAAAAAAACCCAGCACAGTGGGGTTGTGGGGTTGTGGCATAGTTGGGTTCAGTATAGATGATATCTGATAGTGATTAAAATCACTATCATAAAAAACGCTTCGATGCAAATCTGTAGATAGTGTTTAATTAAAAAAAAAAAAATTTGTCAAAAAAGTAGGTCTAATGAGAGCTGAAAAATAAATGATAGCTAGAAAAAAAAACCACATAGTAAAATAATATTAATATGAATTTCTTCTCACGAGAGGAGACTACAGTAATGGAATCCTTGATATTTATTGAAGTTATTGAATCTAAATGAGATAAAAATCAAATGATTTGAAAATTTTATTCTAACTCAAAAAAAATGCAAAATTTTATTGGCCACAGACGGATTTGAACCTCGTATCCTAGGCATGTAAAACACAAGTGTTACCGACTCGGCAACTGTTCGTAGCTTTCGTGACATGAAAAAATTGGCTAAACATTTTTTTTAACTCAAAAAGAATTAAAAAAAAATTCATTGCCACAGTCGTGAAAGACCCAAGTGTTACCTTCTCAAAAACCATACGTCTCATTCGTCACTTAATAAAAATGGAAATTTAGCTAGTTCAAATTTTAAAGTTATTTTTCTCATTTCAAAGAAACAAAAAAATTAAAATATGCTTAATTTTTTATACTATGTCATTTAGATTGATATAATATTTATGAAAATCAGTGTAATCCCCTTATAGTAAAATAAAATACAAAACCAAGAATTTTAACACAATAATAGCTTATTTTTAAATACGGTAGCTATTTTCACCATGAAGACAAAATAAAGTCCAAATTTTTTTTTTTTTATATTAAAGTATATTACATAAACTTTAATTTAAGATATATATAAAAGTGTCAGTATTTCCGGAATACTTTCAAAAATTAAGTTGAAAAAGTTCTACTTTCTATATGCATTTTTATGTTTTGAACCCCCTTGTATTAAGGGAAATGGTCCGATTAAAAAAAAAAGTAAGTCGAATTAAAGAAGTATATAAATATTATTTTTCATAAAAAAATTGTATTCATCCATACATTTTTCAAAGAGTTTTAGCGTTATAAAGTTAAAAATATAAAAAATAATATTTTTACAAAAATCGTATTTTTTTTTATAAACTTTGATGACTCTTTTCACCATGAAAACAAAATAAAGTCCGAAATTTTTTTTTTTTAATATTAAAGTATATTATATAAGCTTTAATTTAAGATATACATAAAAATGTCAGTATTTCCGGAACATTTTCAAAAGTTAAGTTGAAAAAGTTAATTTTTTGTGAAAAAGTTGTCATTTTGAAATCCCCCCTGTGAGCTGGTAAAGTGTTAAATTTATAAAAAAATATACCAAATGATAGGAAAAGACATCAATCATCTATAATTTTATAAGGGCACATTATTTTCCTAAACCAATTATGCAGTATTACTACAATTTGAAGAAAACGTTTTGCTCAAAATTATAACGTTTATTACAATAGTTAAAATACATTTGCTTTATAGATAAGAATATCATCTTTAATTATCATAACTTGTAGTTAGAAAGTTATTGATTACTACTATTTTCACGTTTTTTGTATTTCATTATGTGTAACAAATAAAGCAATAACATACATTTTCTTACTTTTCAGGATATATAAATAAAAATTTCTCTCTTAATACACGCTATATGTTTATCAATTTCCTTAGTAGTTTAACTCCGATTTGATCCAAATTGTCGATATTTTGACAAAAGTTATTATAAGAAGTATAAAGTATAAATTAAAATACCTTAAAATGTCAAAATTGATATTTTTACCGTCTTATTCGTTGCACTAGCAGTTTAAAAACAAAATAATAACAACATTGTTATAACATTTTTACACGTATTTAACTGGATTAGATAATCAGTTAAATTTTTCATCGCCTAAGTCTAAAAACCCTTAGTATAAGAGATATTGTGGTGCATATTATTATCCTACGTACACCATTCCCTGCGTTATCTTTAATTTGGCAGAGGAATATTAACGGTGGAGATGTATTTAAGATTTTAGAACCATGAAGATAAAATATTTTTAGGCCCAAAGAATTAAATTTAGCAATTTCAAAAAGACTTTTCGACAAAATCAGTTAATGTAATTTAAAATATGCCCCTTGAAATTAATTGCTTCAATAAAGATAAGCAATTATTGTATAATATACAATAATTGTTTATAATATTTATTGAAATATAGAGGGATATCCTTGCTACGTATGACTTATAAAATTTTCTCTAACATTATTCTTAACCGCCTACGTCCATAGGCAGTAGATGTTATAGGAGAATACCAAAATGGTTTCTTAGTGGGAAGATCATATTGATAATATATTCACGTTCAAGCAACTGATAGAGAAATATTATGAATTCAATACGAAATATCATTTACTATTTATGGATTTTAGAGAAGCACATGACTCGGTTAAAAGAGAAGCATTATGGAAACATCTAGAACTATTTGATATACCAGCCAAATTAAGAGCAATAATCCGAATGTGTATAGAAACAGCAAGATGCAAAGGAAGATTTGGACAAACACGTTATGAAGAGTTTAAAACCACAATTGGACTAAAACACGGTGATGCACTCTCTCCTATACTCTTTAACATCGCACTAGAGGTGGTAGATCGAAGCATACTTAATAAATGTAAAGGAATTGATATCGAAAATCTGTATCAATATTAGCATATGCTGATGATATCATAGTACTTGGAGAAAATGAAGACGATATAAAACTAGCAACAGAATAATTAATACGAAGTACCAAGACAATAGGATTTGAAATAAATAAAAACAAAACCAAGTATATGTGTATAACAAAAGAACCACCAAAAATACATCAGAGAAGAAATATATAGATAGGAGAGTATAAATTTGAAAAAGTACATAGTTTTAAATATTTTGGTACAGAACTAAACAGCCTAAACAACAATCACGAAGAGATTATGAAACGTGTTCTAGCAGGTAAAAGATGTATACATGCGCTATCTAAATGCCTGCGTTCAAAGCTACTATCAAAGAAATTGAAAATGAGACTGTACAAAGTAATAGCAAGAACTATCATAACGTATGCACGTGAGACATGAACAACAACGTTAGAAGATGAGAGAAAATTGGCTATAGTAGAAAGAAAGTTTCTAGAGATGTGAAGATATGTGAACCTAAAATAAATAATGTAACAAAAAGATATGAAATTAGGTCAAACGAAGAAGTCTATAATGCCTTTGGAGAATCAAATATAATTGGGGTAATTAGAGCCAAAAGACTAAGCTGGCTAGGTCATATACTAAGGTCTAACATGATTGCAAAGGAGGCTCTAAATTGGATGCTACGAGGAAAGAGACCCTTAGGTAGACCTAAACAACGACGGTTTGATAAAGTCTCAAAGGATCTAACAACGCTAGGAGTTGAAAACTACAGGAAGATAACAATGGATAGAGAGAGATGGAAGGAAGTGTGTGTTGTAGCAACGGGCCTTAACGGTCTTTAAAGCTGAAGAAAAAAAACATTTATTGAATTGTAAATATTATTAATTGATCTCAGTCGTTAAAGACCTACCAGACATTTTTTTGAAATTGCCTCTATGGAAAGACTTAAATCTCAACAATTGTTTCAGATTTTTTTCATTAACATGGGAAATAATAACTAATAAATGAAACATAATCTTAGTCATGATAATAACTTCATTTTTATAAAATAACTTTTTAAGAAAAAAATAAGTATTTTATTGCTTATATATAAATTTATTATTTATAATTATCTATTTCATATAACGACTATTAGTATAATTAATCAATTAAAATTATAATAATAATACTTTTTTGTTATACTTAGCAAAACTAAGTTGGTGTCCTAATCAAAAATGCTATAAATAAATTATCATTTATACCGCAACGGTGCGTATCACAAAATTTAGCAAAATGAAATTTTAATCAATCATGATGATAAAACAAGATTTTCCGATCATTTTTTCCTATAAATACGTTTTATTAACTTTATTACAACTATTAACTATGTTTATTCTACGAATCCAATAAAAAATTTTAAATAAAATTGACAAAAAGTTTTTAAACATTTTATAAATTAATTATTGATAGCCTTTTTTAACCTGGACACCCATTGCAGTGATATGAACAAAATATCTAAACTATTGTATTTAATAGTTCAATATATATCACTTATGTAAAAAGAAGTGAACTTAGAAAATTAGTTATAATTTTAAGTCATTAACATGTGTTTAATAACTGTCAGTATATAAAATTAAGAAATGTAATATTTTATATAAATAAAAGTGGTTATGTGATATTTAAATTAAAATTAAAAAAAATATGATTAAATTACAAAATTGAAAACTAATTTTTATGTTAAATTTGTAGGTTTTTTACTCAGATTTTCACAAATAAATAATAAGAATAATAAAATAAATAAAAAATACGAAAGGAAATATTTGTTATTTAAAATATAAAATCACAGTGATTAAAGTTTAAATTTAATGTATAATAGTTGACCAAGAAAATTATTCAATATAAAAAAGTTTAAATATATTTTTAACTTGTTTTTAGTGTCAATTTATAAAACCATGCGTTAAAATGGTATAAAGCAGCAAATGGAAAGCATTTTTACTATTCTCTTCCATTTGAATCTTTAAATGTAAAAAGAGAAATCATTATTAATGATAAAAAGCTTCATTTTTAAGAACACTGTCGATCGAATAAGCTGCGCTTTGTAAACTGCGAGATCGTTCAAAAAGAGAAGGATCCGTGTAAATAGGACCATTTGGATCCCCGAACATTTTACTTGTTGCCTCTTCAATAACTACAGTTGAAATATTTTTTGGTCCTGATTCCGATGTTTCCACAGGAACTCTAAAAAATATTTGTTATTGGTGTTCATGAAAAAAATTTGTATATAACATAATTTAAATTTTAAATACGAACATTGGTTACGAATATGTAACCTACTCGGCTTACAAAATTGACTAGTATTTCTTAAATTTAAATTTAGACCCAGCTTAAACGAAATTTTTGGAGCGACTGAATTTGATTTTCTTAAATCTTTTCTTTATAAAACAATACATATAATTTTTCTGAAAAAAGCTCCTAATTTTCATCAAAATTACGTCTTTAGGCTAATAACTGGTAATAATAAAAAACTAATTATTATTATAATTTATTTCATCTATTATTTTTACAATATTAAATGACTGAGGATTTTTATTTATTAATTAACAGAGGTGTCAATTTGATAATTAATCTCTCAATTACTACCAATAGCATATTGGTAGCTATATGCAATAGCATATAAAATTTAAAGTTAAAAGATGAGATATACGATCGTGACCATTTAATCGTGTCATAAGTATTGATGACTCAAAACAAAATAGTTAGAAAGTCTTACGCCCAAAATGTGTTAATATATTATTCATTATATGAACGGCCTTGTCTATCTGGCTAGTAAATAGAGAATTTAAATAATAATAAAATGTACAAATCCAATAAGATTTTAAAATCACAAGTTTCTATGAACTACAAGTTCATAGAAATATAAAGAACTATTCTAACCTTATATTCATAAATGGTTTAAGTCTATTAAATGATATGTCTGAGAAGAAACTTCGACCAGTAAGTGATCTAATTGTTGACCCATTGTTACTTCTCTCGATCGTGGCGTTACTTAAACCTGAACTACAATTGGCCAACTCATTTTTAGTAATCAAGAGCCAGTAACGTCTGAAATCCATGTATTAATTAAAAATTTCAATATATTGTTTTTATATTTTATTTAGGTACTTGTAATAAATAGCAGTGCACAGAGATGCAGTAATCAATAGAGTAAGGAACATAAACAAAGAAAAAACCATACTGTAATATTCTCTGATTGTCAAACATACAATTTCAGGAGCTGATTCAGATGTCATAGTTTGTTCTAAAGGTATATCATATCGACTTTCAAACACCTGTAATATAGTGTATCCATCATATATAGTATTCATAAAAATATCCATCGTGAATAACAATAAAATGGATAATAAGAGTTTCTTACTTTCCATTTTAAAAACATTAACATTTAGTCAGTAATATTAAAATCTACACTGCATAACTTTACTGGAACTTGTATCAGTCACTGGTGCATGCTTATAAAAATTACTTGCATTACTTACATTCCATGTATAATAAGGAATCACTGTTGGAGTTGTTTTAAAAGACAATTTTATTAAGATCATGAATTTAAAAAATTCATGCAATGAAGGGTTAATTTATAAATTCTAACTAGCAGAATTTTTTTGAAAAATTTATTCAGCAATTTTATATAATTTACTATCGAATTTTTAAATTTAGCACTGCTCTGAATGTATTCACGAGTAAATAGTAATCATATTAAGTATTTAGTAATCTATTAATTGGTAGTTTCTTAAGAAAATCTTATTCTTCAAGTGCAGATATTGAAATTACATTCTCATTTAAATTAGCTACATGAGTTAATCTTTTTATATGAAAAATTTAGTTTCTTTATTAAGAGGACCTCAAATATTAATAAAAATGTTTGAAATATAAGCACTGACATAAGACTAGTTAAAAAAATACTTACTTCAATTACTTGTCGAACTTTTTCTTCTTCTTTAGATTTTTGTATAGTAGAATCTTCTTCGAATGCTGTGTCATTTTGATTTTGTTCATTTACATCTCTTCGCCTTCTACCTAAAGATGGCTCCATTCTTCCGGTTTGTAAAGTACAATATGCCTTTAAAGATTAATGAATATATTAATAATAGACTAAAAATCTATATTACTTCATGTTTAATTACTGGTTGACATCCATCTCGACAAGTTCGTATAGTTGCTTCAAAAACTAAAAAATTTGATTCTGGTATTTTAAAAGCATTAAAACGAGCTTCAAGTCCATCGCCCTCTCTAGACTTATCTAATCCGGGAAATACATAATTGTCTATCGGGCATCTATTTGTATTATAAAAACAATTCTAATTGTAGAATATATAATCTTAAGCTAATAAAAATAATAATCACCCATAACGATCTATTAATTGTACGCTTCTACCACTGTACGGATCTCTAGCAATGACATTGGTCGCAAATATATCACTGGCGTAGGCATGGCCATCATGAGCTTCTATTCGGAACGTTAGAGGATCACCTACAGCTATAGTTTGTGTCGGACGGCCTTGAAATAAAATACTGAGACGGACACGAGAACTTAATGAATTTTCAGCTGGAAGGTATTCAATAGGTATTGGACTTCCAGAACTTAAAATAAATAAAGTTTTTTATAAAACATTTACACCGATGACTACATTATTTAAAAATATTGTCTATTTACTTGGCGGTCATATAATTCGATGTGACGATAGTCTCACCTGGGCTTCGAAATAAACATGTTAAATTATATCGTTTATCTCGACTTGTCTGTACGTAATCGCTAAATTGTACAACAACTATATTTGTCAATGTGTCTCCATACTAAACAAAAAAATAGAGTTTTAATATGACTTTCGTGTAGCATTTTTTTTATGTACCGTTTGTATAATTTACAAAAATTTATCTTAATTGAAAAATATGTAGCTATTTTTAATACACGTTTTTTTTTTATAAATTACAACGAGTTTAAAATAACTATTTTTGATTCAAATATTTAGAAATTATTTTTAATAACTTTCTACCGGGTTCAATGTATCGTTGAATGTATTCTATCGTTCCGGTTTACCTGGCATGCTATGAATTTTTATTTAATTTTTAAAATTTTTAATAGATGTAAAAATAATTGATACAAATCATTTATACCCGTTGCGTTCCACAATCCGGATATCCTTGAGCTCCGCTGATCCGCAAAATATTTGCTGTTCCACCGTTTCCCCTATAAAAACATCTATCATAGTAACCATGCGTGTATATTCTGCCTAAAAAACCTTCAGGTGTGCGTAAAGTAAAAGTCATGCCATCTTCATTGCATTCTTGAGTGACTGAAGAAAAATTTTTTACTTTAAAATTTAGTATTATAAAGAGAAAACCAATTCAAATTTAATTTTTACCATCTAAACATTCTTGACTGATTCTGCTACCTATAACAGATCTTTCATAAAAATCGTAATCAGGAGCATTTTCGAATAGTGATGGATTATTCATATCAATAAGACGCGATTCTTGGTCACTCAACTCGCAGTTTTCTCTTTGAGCTCCATATGGTGCAGTTCTATAAATAATTTCAATGATTCTAACATAAAAATTATTTCACATAATGAGACTCATCGTGTTATATCACTTAAAACAAGGCGCAAATAGATTAAAATTCATTGAACTAACTAAAATTAAACTTCATGTATCTGACCTGTAATTGAATGACCGACAGTCTATGTCTCTTGCCATAGAACATTCTCGTTCACAATGTGATAAAGTAGGTGCAGTAATGTAACGCTTGATTAATCCTCGTGCCAAACGCATCCGTACACCCATCTAATATTGAATATATTATATAGTATTTAATATATTTTAATACATAATCAAACATCAAAATTATTTTGATATTTAATATTTTTCAATTTTGCTTAAAATACCTGTTTAAACCCGTCAATATCATCACATTTTATGTTATAAGGTCTATTTCCATCTAATCCATTTCCACCGTAATATCCAGGGATACCTAAAGGTGGACCTATAGAAGGTGGACCTAAGTTGTATCCACCTATTGGAGCAACTCCTAAATGTGAAAATCCACTTTGAATTGATGAAGCACCGTATGGTGCAATAGAAGATCCTATAACTCCTTGTGTCGATCCAATTCCATAACTACCACCTGTATTTTGTCCTAAAAATGGAGGAATATTTGCACCATGACCACCGACGTGGCCCCAATACCCTTCGGGACTATTAATAGGGTTTGGTTGAGGTCCTATAACTCCACTTAACGATCCAATTCCGACAGCACCTGTATATGCTGGATAGGATCCTCCTCCATATATACTTCCAAGTCCAGATCCTAATAATTAAAATTCACATAATACTCGTGTTATTATTTTAATTCATATTTTATTTACCAATTGGTTTATCAGGTGTCAAATAAGGTGGTTTGCTACTTAAAAAATTAGATCCTTGTCCTAAAATATCAGGTTTTACATAAGGAGGTGATGTAACTCCATCTAAAAATAGAGGTATGAATAATCATCACTCTAGTGTTAATTAATTTAATTACTTAGGATTAATTTCATGATAGCTTACTCATTAAATTTTCATAATAATCATAATCTGCGTCATAAATAACCCGATGGCCATCTCTTTGGTTAAAACGACTAAGTCTACATATGCGAAATCGATCACTATATACAGCTGATCTACACTGGAAACTAACTTGTCTTAAACATTCATCTAAACACTCACTCAAAGATCGTCCAGTGATTTCTGAATGAAATTCTCCACCTAGCCTACTGTTTCTATATCTTTGGAATGCTGTGTCTGGTTTTCGTCCATCGGAAAATAGATGTGAAGTCAATGTGTTATCTGAGAATTCGTTTCCCTTGGCTGTAAGTGAATCACCACCTGATTTTTTGTTAAAAATATTATGCATATACACATGCATTGGGTAGGTTATAACAGATGGAGGAGAAGTTAAATATTAAAAATTAAGCACTTACGATTATCTAAACAGACTAAGTCGTACAAGTCATGCGTTGGACTACTACTCACTCTCAAATCGTCTTTTTGAGATAACGAGTCTTCTTCAAATATTATACACCTTCTAATTTGATCATCGTATTCTACAGCACGACAAAAATATCTGCGAAAATTTTATACAAATAAAATTCTATCATACTTCTTATCACAATTATAATAAATAGTTCATATACTTTTCTGCACGCAAACATTGTGCTTGACACTCTATCAGTGATAAGTTTGCAAATATATCTACTTCGAAAGGGCCACCTAATCTTTTATTTTCTTCTTTAATGAATATAATAGAACCATCACATCGTCTATCCACTAAAAATTTAAAAATTAAGCTAAAAAAATTTTTTAAATGAACCAGAATTTGTAACTGACTACTTAAACAAGTATTTTCTAAATATTCAGAACTGGGATCATCTTCAAGCATTTCTGGATGAGTACGTCGAGTAAATCTACTTATCCAACACGTTTTTGATGCTGAATCATATGTAACTGAACGACATACAAATGTATATTCATTTAAGCATTTGTCCTCGCAGTCAGTTCGATTATTTACTATAATTTCTTTGTAGTCTGGAGTTGGTAGTTTAAGTTTTTTTCTGGTGTGTCTTTCAAACACATAATGTCTATTAGCGCATTCCCGTTCAATTCGACTTGCTAAATTTTAATAACTCGTTAATTAAACAAATAAGAAAAACAAATTTTAAGTATCCATAGCGAATATTTATATATAATATACTTATAAAACGTAGGCTAGAATTATGTCAAAATTTTATTATATTTACTCTCATTTAAAATTTGCACACAACAAAATTTATTTTTCAAACATTTTTTAGCTGCATTTAAGCAAAAAATATTATGTTATATTATATTCAATCTTGGAATAAGAGTTTGTAAGACACGGAATCAAAATTAAAATGAAACCCTTATATTATAGACGTTATTAACGCTTCAAATCGTATTGTATATTTTAATGAAAAATATATGACACTTAAATCTTGGGACTTGGGGTTATAGTTGTATACCTCATTTTTTAATCATAATATACAGAGTAATTTTTTTAAAGCCACCTGAGTTCTCTATAATTATTTTTGATAATTTTTAGTTCCATATATTTCTTGATTAATCTCTTACTAATTATTTTTTAAATGATCTTTTATACTTTATAAGGGTATCAACCTTATTGTTTTTTTATTTGTACTATATAATATAATTATATGCAGTATAATTTATTAATACTACTTACCCTACTTTTTTTTTAAATAACTTCATTTATTTAATGAACTATGATAAATTTTAAGTTTATAAGATACAAAAATTATTTCTAATAGTTGTTTTTAGGCATAAATTTTAAAGTTAAATAGGAATCTATAATTATTTCTATATAATTAATTGGATAATGAACCAATATAACTTTGACTGGTTGATTACTACATTTTAAAATTAAATTTATATAATTTTTAGGTATAGGTGAGAGGGGTGAGCAATATAGTAGAATTATTATTGTGCGATATGATCATTATATATCATCATCACTTTACTTTACTTCGCTTATGGCCTTATCTAAGCTTTTAAAAACTTTATCTTAAAAAATAATATTATAAAACTGGTTATGAACAAGGAAAAATTTTTATATAATCTATTCTTCATCATATTATATCAAATTATTCAACTTTTAAAAATTATCTCTTAGATAAAAAATATCTCTTAGAAATAATTATTTTCTATAACCAACTTAATATAATCGTAAAAATTAAGCATCTTTTTAAGTACATATATATAAAAAAACCCAACCCAAGCACAGTGGGGACGTGACATAGTTGGGTCCAGTAAAGATTTAAAGTAGTTGTATATTTCTTTACTTTTAACGGGTATAAAAATTTAAAGGGCTTGATGCAATACTTTTCAATAAAAACTGTTTGTTATTTATGAATAAATACACTGCACTACAAGGAACTTTCATCAGAAACAAAAATAGACTTTTCTAAAACAACTTTTTGCACCGTTTTCAAATTTGAAATTAGTTTTTTTCTATCGCTTCTTATTTTTGATATTATTACTAATTTATACATGAAATAAAATATAAAACAGAAAAATTTGTTTTTCAATTATTACTAATTTTGATTTTTAATATGTTAAAAATAATCAGTGCAAAATGACATTTTAACCAATTACTTTGGTTCTTTAAATTGATTTTTGTGAAAGTTTATAATAGAAAAAAATTGAATCTGATAACATAAATTTTAGCAAAACTTGCAAGTTTGAAATTGACATCATTAAATAGAAAATTTTATGAAAATAAAAAAAAATGGTATTTTTAAGATTAATATGTAGTCTACAATTGAAATATCTAGAACTGAATTAATTTTAATGATTTTACTTTAACTAAAAAAAAAAAAAAAATCAAAATGTTGTTAAAAAAATTTACACAATTGAGCATTTTATAAAATTTGATTATAATTGTAAAAACCCATTGCTAAATTCAGGTGAAACTAAAATAATTTTTTTAGAAATTATTTATATAGCAATATATTACCAAAAAATGTGAAATATTAATGACTGGTAGTACACACATAAATAAAGTTAAAAAATAATAAACTACAAAATTATTTAATTTTGTAATTGAAATCTATTATCATATCAAATCTAATGCGACAGTAAATAATTTTAAAATATAAATAAGTGCTGAGAAAATAAATGACAGCCCCGAAAAAAAACCACATAGTATAATAATTTTAATATGAATAAGACATTTCTTATAACTAGAGGAGAATATCAAGGGACTCCATTGCAGACATTAAATGGCAATTTAAGCTAGTTCAAATTTCAAAGTTATTTTTCTCGACTTAAAAAAAGCAAAAAAATTTAAATAAGTTTAATTTTCTATACTGTATCAATTTGAGTTATATAATATTATATAACTCAAATATAATATGTAAAAAAATTGAAAATAATGTTGAAAATTAGCGATTTTTAAATTTGTAATTTTTTTGGAGATTTCCCCCATTTATGTGGAACGAGGGAAATTTAAATCAATTACAGAGGGTAATGTCTTCGATTAGATACAATATGTGATTTTATGACGTATCGTTGAAAGAAATTGGTTCGGTGAGAACTGAGAAAAGTGATAACATACACAAAATAAAAAAATTAATAAAAAAAAAAATATCATAATAAAATTTATACCTTCTCCTAATTTCTATATGCATGTTAAAAGTTTTGATACCATTGTATGAAGGGAAATGGTCCGATTTATTAAAAAAGTATATCAGATGAAAGGGGTATATACAAAGTATTTATAAAAAAAAATAAAATATTGATCCATGCATTTTTTAAAAAGTTATATAAATACAAAGTTAAAAATGTAAAAAATAAAATCGAGAATTTTCAAACAAAAATAGCATTCGGTAGCCATTTTCACCGTGAAGACAAAATAAGTCCCAAATTTTTTTTCCCATAATAAAGAACAGTACATTAGCTTTAATTTATGTATATATATGTGTGTCAGACTTTCAGGTACACTTTCAAAAGTTGAATTGAAAAATTTGTAATTTTTTTGTGAAAAAGTTGTCATTTTAAATCCCCCTCTGAGGGCAGGTAAAGGGTCAGATTTATAAAAAAATGTACCAAATGATAGTTAAAAACATCATGCATCCATAAAAAAAAGAATTATATTGATCAATACATATTTTTAAAAGTTATAGCATTATAAAGTTAAAAATATAAAAATAAATTTTTTTTTTCCATAAAAAAGTATATTTCATTAACCTTAATTTAAGATATATATAAAAGTGTCAGACTTTCCGGAACAATTTCAAAACTTAAGTTGAAAAAGTACTACTTTCTATATGCTTTTTTCAGATTTCAACACCTCCCTCCACGTAAATAGGGAAATGGTCCGATTTAAAAAAATGGTATGTCGAATGAAAGATGTATATAAATACTACTTCTCATGAAAAAATTGTTTTGATCCATACATTTTTTTAAAAAGTTATAGCATAATAAAGTTAAAAATGTAAAATACAAAATCGAGAATTTTCACACAAAAATAGCATTCGGTAGATATTTTTACAATGAAGATAAAATAAAGTCCAAAATTTTTTTTTTCCATGATAAAGTATATTACATTAACTTTAATTTAAGATATATATAAAAGTGTCAGACTTTCCGGAACATTTTCAAAAGTTAAGTTGAAATAGTTCATTTTTTGTGAAAAAGTTGTCATTTTAAATCCCCCCCTGTGGGCAGGTTAAGGGTTAAATTTATGAAAAAAATATACCAAATGAAAGGTAATGATATTATGCATTTATATAATATATATATATATATATTGGTTTGGTTATTTTTAAAAAAGTTATGGCAATTTTAAGTAAAAAAAATTTCGAAAATTAACGATTTTTAAATTTGTAATTTTTTTGGAGATTTCCCCCATTTACGGGGAACGAGGGAAATTTTTTCAATTTTGAAGGGTAATGTCTTCGACTAGATACAATTTGTGATCTTTTGACGTNTAATGTCTTCGACTAGATACGATTTGTGAAAAATGAACACATCATAGTAAAACCAATACCTTCTCAGCTTCGCATCGAAGCTAAAAAAAATAACTGTAATGAAATGCCATAAAAAACATATTTTCGTTGCAATGAATAGAGTCATTATGATAAAGTAAATCAAACAATGCAGTGGCAAAGAATGCCATATTTTGAAATAAAAATAACGTTGAGCACTTTTAAAATGGACCAAATTGGATTCAATCTAATCACACATATTAGTACCAACTACACACCTCCTTTAGCGATGTAAATTGTGAAAGGTTATTAACCTTATGTCGATCACATTGTTACAGTATGGTCGGTTGCACACGATGTTTTTGACCGGAAGTCCGGAAATGATCGTGCTACATATAAAGATAATATGTATTTAATCAAGGACAAATGATGAGACAAATTTTCAAATTTCATATGCTGTAATTTTTTTAAGGTTAATTAACACAGAAATACTATTTTGGGAATAATCATTTTCATTGATTTTGCTATAATTATTAACGTTGTTAGATTTACTATGGTACTATGTAGATGTAAATTAAGAGGGTCAATGAGCTTCCACGCTTAGCATTCGAGTTTAGGAACATATTGAATTTTATAAAAGTAATAAACATACTCAACATTTTCTAATTAACTTTTTATCCTTTTCTTTCGCCTTTATTTCAGCTATTTAAGGTTGGTCATCCTTATCCTTAACCTCAACATGATCTCGTACATCATCTATTCACACACCAGCAATTCTCATATCACCTCCAATTACATCCAACCACCCCATATCGGTTTTTCTTTTTCTTTTCATTATTCACCGTTTAATTCAATAACTTTTTTACAACTTCTCATTATTTTTCTTCATCATATGACCAAACAATCTAATACTATTTTCTCTTATATTATCCACGATCGGCGCTACTCTTATGTTTTCTCTTACATATTCACTTCTTATTTTATTTTATCTAAAGATTTTCTATTTAACATTATTAACTTTTTTAAAAAAGTTAAAGAGGATTTACCCTTTCTCTATAAAGCTGTAATATAGCTGTTATTTTAGCTTTTGAATGTTCAAACATAAAAAAAATATTAATAATTTAACCCAACTTTAGTGGCGGTCTTTTTGTGACACTTGATAACCATTTTACATCAGTCTCAAATTTTGTACAGCTCATTTTTTATGTAGTAAAATCATTTACAGATACGAAAAGCAAAATTAATTAAAAATCGTATTTTAAGGTCTATCTTAATATACAGATTGATTCACTTATCATGAACCATTTTATTAATCAAAAAATAATACTAATAATTTTTTTATTGGTTTCTTTTAGTTCATTTTATGAATATAAAAAACTTTGATTGAAAAACTGAGAGAAACATTGAACTAAAAGAAATAAATAAAAAAAATTGTTTTTATTTTTGGATTAATCAATGGTTTATGATGATTAAAACACTCTGTATATTTAGTAAAATAATACAAAATTATTATTTATATTTTATTACATCTTACATGATAAACAAACTTCTGTATAATGAACACTGTTTGGTACTGCTACTAATACTCCAATACCTTCTGGATGTGCCTGTTCTCTTGTTAAATAACATGTTGATTCTTCATATTCTACTGTACCACTGAAAGATGCTATTCGACTACCAGGTTGAAAGTCAAATGAAGTGCAAGTCCGAACTAAATTGTTATTGACTGTTCTGTCTCGTAGACAGAGTTCTTCACATTTTTCTAGTACTCTGAAAGGCGGAGATGTATCTCGAACCTATTTATATACAAAAAAAAAAAGTATAAATTTTAAATAGAGTTTCACTTATAGTTAGAACAAACAATTCAAAATGTATCAATCAATATTTTTTACTAAATAAGTTTACAATTAATATTATACTTTTGTTATTTATACTAAAAGTAGTTTTAAATCTATTACAATTAAAAAAAACATACGACTTCATCATCGAATCCTTGTAATTGATAGTCTGGAAGTCTTTCATAAACTATTCTTCCAACTCCTTGATTACACGTAGTTTGAGCTGACATTGTACGAAAAAATCGTTAAACAAAAAACGTCTATATTATATATGTATTTTTGACTATGCTTAAAATAGTCTGTGTAAATATAAAAAAGGATATTTTTATGGAGTACTCACCTAATGAATTATACGGAATAATTTTAAAGAATAATATCACATACAATAGTAATGAATGAGTAAAAATAATTTTTTGTATAATTAATCCCATGACTTACATGGATCAAGTTATAGTTAATTTAATAAATTTTTATTAAAAACAAATGCTTTTGACGTTTACAAAATATTTAATTTAATTTAATGTAATCATATTTTCCAATCATCATACTTAAAAATAATTTAATAAGCATATTAATAATAGTAAATTAAATTAAAATTTCCCTAAGAGTTTCAATAAATGTCAACAAAACATAAACGTTGATTTTAAATAAAAAAACTTTACCAATGATTACGTGATTAATGCTATATTTAAACTAAATGCATCAAAACATGTGTACTGGCTCGAAGCTTGTTACCCTTTCAAAACTTACATATAAGTCAGGTATAACGAATAATTCATATTAGTAATGGTGTAGGATTTTTATTGAAAAAGAGGGGAAATAATTTGTGTCAAGTACATTTTTCATTGTGATTTCAGTACAGGTAATGATACAATAATATAAACTAATACTATCACTATTTTTCATCAAATCTAAATGATGAGCTAATATAAATGTAAAGGGATAGTGACATGAAGGTTTGTGCTCTAGTTTTTTAATTAATAGATTACCTCTTTTTTATAATTCAAAATTGAAAATTACAATCATGACTCGTGTATCAATTTTTGTAATATAACACTCATATATATATATATAGATATACATATTATGTATAAATATATATTTGTACATAATAAAATTGTGTAATGAAAACATCTTCATGTATTCAATTAAGGAAACAAAATTTGTTTCACTTGTCGTATAACGATATTTTCATTGAATTATTTATTATATATTTTATTGCATTTTCATATTAAAATTTTGAAGTCTATTGTATGCTTTTGTTCCCTTTATTTTTCTCTGTTCACACTTTGCTTGAATATGGTGTTATCGTCTGACATCCGTATCTTGCTAAAGATCAGATTCACCTAGAGCGATTCAAAACAGATATTTATCCTTTGCTGATTTTCAACTTAAACTACACAAACCAGACCGTGCCTATATTAATTTTCAGCATAATTAAAATATTTAATTAATTATCTCCCTCCAGTCTGATATCGACGCACATCTCATTGATTGACTGAATGGGTCTATTGAAGCATCTGATCTTCCAATATATCTATTCTGTATTCTATTCCTTGTTCTTTTATAAAACACTCGTAATCAATGTTCTTTATGTATTCATGACCACACTTATTCTTGTGGTTACAATCATCCTCTGTATTGTTTTCTCCGTGTTGCTAGTCAACGGGTTTCTTAAATTGTATTAAATGTATAAACTAGTTTATACATTTAATACAGTTTATTATTCTTATTATTACTTATTTATATTTAGTGTTTTGATTTGTGTACTTTTTTTGTCTATGTGCCATATATCCTATTTTGTACTTATGTTATATTTTAAAACTCTTACTTAATCATACTCACATAATTTTATATTATATTTTATATATATGCGTATTTACGTTGTTTATACCATACTATTATTGTTTATTAATATGTATTAATTAAAAAAGGCGTGTGGCGATAATTTTTTTAAATAAATAAATAAGAATCAACTGTTATTTTGTTCACATATACTCAATAAAATTTTAGCGTTTTAAAATGACATCATTAAAAATACGATTTAAAATACAATTTTTTTTTTCAAAAAATTATTATTCGATTCATTAAAAAACAAATGAAAATTTTACGAGTAACTTATCAAATTTCTGTCATATTAAATTTCTATTTAAGATTTTCTTACTAAACTGTGGATTGAAATCTAGTTAGTAACTGCGCGCTAATTCAGTACTACATAAGTATGTTAATAGGTTATATTATCAACAAAAGGCTATCACGATATATAACAACTGCCAGTTTTACGTTTCGTGGTGGTACATAAAATATATTCTACATAGTCATAAGTTTTTTACTTATTCAGTAACAATACAAAGTATTTCCTTTATTTAGTAAGTATAAATTTATGTTATTCCTATGAATTCATCGAGAAAATTTTTATTGTATCAAAATATGAGTTAATATTGATAAAAATTTTAAATAAATTCTAGATATTATTATTTAAATTGTGTATGATCTAATCATCAAATAAATCAGGGTTGTGTGGGACAAGTTGATGCTTTAGACAAGATATTTTATTGGATTTAAAAAAATATTGAAGTGTTTACAAACTTTTCTGTAAATATTTTTAAATACTATATACCAAACAATATATCAACTAAACAATGACAAATTTTTTTAAAATAATTTAAATGAACACATATGTTTGATTAAAATAGCACTTATTAATTTTTTCAAAACGATGTAATGTTGTTTTACGACGTAAGGTTTTAACTTGAGCGTAAATAAACAAATATTTTATTGCAATAGATATATTAAAAATATTTGAAATTTTAAGTCTTAATAAAATTTGGGAAATACTATGGGTATTTTTAATCATATGAGATGTGATGAAAGTTGTTTTTTTCGTTACTTTTATATAAAATTTCTATGTATAGTTTCCTTATAAAAAGTATAACTAGCTCAGCTATAGAAAAAAATATTATTCATACAGAGTGTCATTATATCGATTTCCCTTTAAAACATTGTCATATCCCAATTTTTTTTAATTATTCGCCGAACTAAAAAATTGTATAATATATCCAACATTTTTTAATAGTCCAAAAGGTGACTCCTACTTGATTGAAAAATACATGTGTAATACAGTTTTTAAGCATAACCTTGACACGACCCCGCGACTCTTGCCACCTTCATCAGCGGTCGTCCTACTATGAGTATTTGACTGACCAACACAGTGTGTCATACGTCGCGGTGCAATGTCCAGCAAGTGCCGCACGGCCGATGACGACCTCCGGCATAAGATACGTCGAGTCCTCTTCCTGTTGTCAAAGTGATAACGTTGAGGATGTACGCCACCGGTTCGGGACGTGCCGCACGACCGGACTCGACGAACCGATCTGTACTCGCGCACTGTCGCCATCAACGCTGCTTACTTTTTGACGCCGAGGATCATGTCGGACAACGCGTCGCCAACGCCAGCGAAAGTGCCGCGATATTATGCGAAGATTATTATTAACTGTGTTCGTCTTTTCGGTTTGTTTATTTTTTTTAATAATCTGTTGTTGCTTATTAATAAACGACTCACGGGTCTCTACCTTCAAAACCAGTGTCGACTACATTATTGCGACGTAAGTCGTGTCAACCTACATTCAACTAGGGTGTGTTAATTTGTTCCAGGCAACATGACAAATTTGATTTTTTTCTAATTAATAATTAATTTTTAAAGTAGCTAATATTAATCAATTAGTAAACTACTAATAAATGTATAAGTATAGTAAGTGCTATTTCTATAAAATGTCAAGTTTTTATGGTGAATACTTTTTAAAGTTCAAAACTAATATTACATTTTTTTGTCACAAGTTCACAGATATTTTTTTTTTACTTTTACTATAATTATAACATAAAATTTAAGAAAATTAATTTATAATTTTTTATATGGGACAGTGGAACCCTGTCATTAGTGGTGCTAATTAACTAAATTTTTTAATCCCCAAAAATATTTTAATACTCTATGAAAAAGTTTTTAAGAAAAATTATTTAACTGGAGGTTAAGCTCCTTATTTGCATTAGTACATAGAGTTTAGAGAATTGGGTTTTAACATTTTTGGGGTAAATTTTTCTGTTTGGCTTCCAAAGGGCCGAAATAAAATTTTCCCTGGACTCCCTAAAATCTTATTTAGACTTTGATTAGACTAATCTTTATATTTTTTTAACTAAAAATTAACTTTTTTGATATTATAATAATTCCTTAAATTGATAAAAATTGAATAAGAATTTTATTATATGTTTATTCTTAATTTAAACAAAATATTTTGTCAAGATCTCAACAAAACTCATTATATTTTTGTTATAAATTACAGCATAAAAAAATGTTTTTTTATTTAAATAAGAATTACGAAATTATTAAAAATATCTATGAAAATCAAAAAACAAAATGTGACAATATTAAGATAAAATTAATAATAAGATCATTCAGTTGGTAAAATTTTAGTCTATAAAATAGCATAAACATCCTTCAATAATACACCAAATGAATTTTTTTAAAGTACAGCAACAACTGTAATTTATTCTTTTTTATGTTTACTCAAATTATAAAAATAGCGAAAATGAGAATGCCTGTAGTTTTTTATCAATATTTTTCATTAAATCTAGCCTTGTAACGCAACTTAAATATATACGTTTTATATAGTATGTTAAGTAAGTAAGGAAACAGGACAATTGTTACAAATAATGAGAGCAATAAAAACTCGGTTCTTACTTACTAAACACACTATATAATTCCCTATTAATGTCAAAGTATTTTACAAAAAAAAAAAAAATTATAATAGAATAAATTCCAGTATAATTAAATATTTTATTAATTACTATAATAATCAATACAACATTTGATTATATTATCTGTAGGACAGCTGAAAGGGCTCCAGATAGACGAAGCCTAGTATAAATATTTATATATATAAGTTTATATGTAAAAAAAATCGAATCTATATAAATTTTTGCCGTCTTATTTAAATGAAATTTACAATTTATTACTCAGTTATATAATACCAAAAATTATTTGTAATTTTAATCTAAATAATTACCCTAAAATTAAAATTAATACCTTCTAAAATAATCGTTGGATTGTCTATTTTTATAAATATTATTTATTTTTAGCTGTAAAATGTTCATGACATATTGAAACTTACTAGCACAAATAAAATACTTTATAGAAATAATTTATCTAATGACGTTGATCAAACTTATTGCCACGTAAAGGCGATAGACATAATAAATTTTATTAATGGTGCTATATTTATGATCACTTGTTTATAATAATTTTTACTTTTAAAATTTTTTTTACTTTTGGCTAGCTAAAACTTATGTTCTTCCCAATGTGCGTATTTTAAAACGCTGAAAGATACATAGAGTTAACAATTTTTTAAATCCTCATAAATTATCTATTTAATGATGCTATTTTCAAATCTGGTTATAAATTTTACACATAAGTTCCTTAATAAAATATTATTCAAAATTTTTATTTGAATATTTTTATACTTTGTTGAATTTTTCTTGTTTTAGCTCATTCATATACATTTACAGAAATTTTAATAATATAATAATGGAGTAACACCTATGCTATATTTAAGAATTTTATACTGAGGGATGTTTATATGAGAACATTAATTCTTACCCTACTCCATTTTATACCAAAATTTAATTGTTTTTTATCCAAAATACACCTTTTGGTTACATTTAGAGTTTTTATAAATAACTTAGAAAGTTACTAGTCGATAAACTTTTGAACCAATATTTGGAATTATTAACACTTAGATAGGTGAAATGCGGGTCTGTTTATTTTTATCTCTAATAATTTCTAAAACGTTCTCCTCCTGCTATGATGTAAAAATAATTATTTTTTTAAATAACAGTTCACAGTTGTTATTGACTAGTCATATTTTTATATTTTAAGTCAATTAAATATTTATGTTACCATTTAAAAAACGTAAGTTGTTACAATTTTAAAGGGGATAGAATTTCACTTTGATCTTAGTCGATAGGCCGAGAAGCGATAGAACTATTTTTTTTAATTTGTTATTTAAGTGTTTATTATACAAATAACTTCTGAAAAGAAAAAAAAATATTTTCTTATATTTTTGAAAGTATGTTTGAGACATATTAAGCGTACTTGTTTACTAATAAAAATTAAAAAATAAGTCGTTTATTAAATAATAAAATTATTTAAAGCATATTTTTTTTATATGGGGAAGCTGTTTAAATACAATATAAAATATTTTTTTACCAACTATATAACTAGTATTAGAGTAGACGCAGCAATATTTTTGAATGTATACGGTGATTAAGTGCCGCAAATATATCATTTCAAACAAATTTTCGTAAAATTACAAGTAAGAATTTATGTACATAACTTTAATAAATTGATAGATAATTAAAGAAACTTAATCGTTATGTTTTATGTTGCTAATTTTGTTATACTTACGCTGATTGGATTTGTAAACTTACCACACAAAATTAATGCTATAACTCATTCAAAAAACAATGTTCCATTTAACAATAAAATACAGATAGAAACTCTTGAAAAAAAATTAAAACACTTGGAAACTATTTCTCAAGTAAATGAAGGAGTAATAGAAAAGTTTAAGAAGCTTAAAGATAAAAAACTTAATAATTTATTGTTAATAGTAAATTATCATTTGATTACGCTCAGATGTATGTACACATTTAATATATATCATCATATGATCCTAACTCAATATCTTCTAAACGATAATAATTATAAGAAAATAGACCGAAAAAATGTTGTAGAAATAATCACACAATACAAAGAAATTATACGCAACATGTTATCAATGTCTATTAGTATGGGTGTCAAAGAAATTGAAGCTTTATGGTTAACTTATGTTTATATGGAA